GAAACTATGTTGGGTTCTTTAGCGGCTGACTGTAAGTTTCTTGCTACGAAAGTCACTGTGGGAGATGGGAGGACCCCTACCCTGAAGCCTTGGGAGAGCCCTGACGGGAGATAGTCAACAAACACGGAATCTGTAGATAGCGCAGCTGCTGGCTGAGGGATGTTAATGGGAGTGGAGGGGTGATATTCCAGAATGTTTTTTTTTTTTTTTTTTTATAATGTGTTGATGTTTCTGGCGCAGAGCCACTGTGACGGCCCGTCCACACGGTGGCGTGCGTTACAGCTTCCAAATGCTTCTGCCCATTCACTTTGAATGGGGTGACGTCACTTTTAGTAGAACTGTATTTTGGGAAGCGATGTGGAGCGTTTGCTGGCGTTGCTCGCTTCAAAAAGTTGAGCAATGTTCAACTTTTGGCGCCTCGGCAGAAGCGTCAGCCAATGAAATCCCGTTTATGCAAATCTGCCGGTACAGCGCTAGCCAATCAGACCGCGTGTATGTTGGGAGAGACTACGCAGGTAATTCCTCATATTCCAAAAATGTGAGGGAAAATTCATTATGGCGGTAGTGAATCACCCGGTGCTGTATGATCAGTCTCTGTTCGTCTACCGGGATACAAACCAGAGGAGCGAGGCATGGAGGGAGGAGGCAGAGACAGTGGGTGAAACTGGTAGGTTTTCGCCTGTTGGGGATTTATTTTTATTTTTTTCCAGTTTACTTAGTTTTAACATTGCTATTGCTTTGTGTGTCGGGGGCAAGAGATTCATGTGATTGGTTGTTGCTGCTGTGCGTAGGCAGACATTTACTTTAGGGTGGGCCTGTAAAATATAGGGTGGGCCAGATTTTTCTTCTGCGCATCGGAAACTAACCACGATCCCGCCGGTACCGGTGGCAGATTACTTTTAGAATACTTCCTTTCCTCTTCTTTTTCTTCCTCCCTCCTCTTCTTTTTATCTTTTATTTTCTCCTTTTCATCTTCTTTTTATCTTTTCCTCTTCTTTCTCTTTAGAATACTTTCTTTTCCATAACAGATGGGTATGTTTTGGTGAACGGGAGACACGTATTTTACTGTTTTAATGGCTTATGAAGAGCACGAACACAACATTTTAGTGTCATTCTTGACAGCTCTCTCATCTGCACCGTACGTAAAAAGAAAAACTCACCCAGACTGCATTCTTTGTACTGTCTTAAAACCTTTCCTTGGAAAAGTGTATGCATTGTAAGGTGTCCTTGGGTGCTTTGAAAGGCGCCCCTAAATAGAATACATTATCGTTATTATTTATTATCTGAAACGATGTAATCACTTTTAAAACTTTTCCCAGTTACTTGCCCCATGCATTCGGCAGCAGCAGGCCATTCAGTTAGATTTGATCCCGTTATGAATGTCATCATTTCGGCAATAAATAAATGCTACATAAACGTTATCTTCCACGTTTTATCTAAACATCTCCGTTTCTACCTTCCAATATGTTTTGAAAGAGAACTCTCTCTCTCTCTCATCTGCGTGCGGGGCGGGGCCTCACGGACACGCTGCATCTCTCGCTCGCAGATACGCTGCAGCGCTGTGCACACGGTTCTGCCGGTAATGAATATTACATTGTGAGGAAACTTTCCACCAATAATTCCAATAAGTATTCACTTCAGGTTTACGAAAGTAACTGCACTCAGTTTACTCGTTTTTTCAAATGTAACGCCAGCTGAATGTACTGATTTTTTTTTTTTTTCTTTCTTTTTCTTCCGATTACGTAACACCGTTACATGTATTCCGTTACGACCCAACCCTGTGTAAGGGTCGAGTGCAAACGTTTTCGTTAAAACTAGTACCTGAGTGCAACGGAAGTTGAAGCTCCTGTGGCGGAGTCTTCCAGCGCCTGGAGGCGAGCATCGATAGCTATCATGGAGCTAGCCAGGGATTACAGGGAGCCGGCCGCGCTACTCTCCATAGGGGTGTGTGACGCTCCCGGACTGGCGAGCCTGAGAAGGGGTGGCTTTTTTGGAGGGGGACGGGATCCTGGAGGGCTCGACTTCCTGCCCTTTTTTTACCTCCGCGGCTTCGGCCTCGTCCTGCTCTCTGGGAAGCTGGCTGGAGCTGCTGCCCCGGACTGGGGAGCTACGCTGGAGACCTGGTCCGAGAGCTATCGCCGCTGAGAGAGAGTGAGGCCTGGGGCTGTGGGAAAGCCCTGCTGCAGGAGCCGGGCGATGAGGAAGTCTTCCTCTGTTGATAAGCCGCTGTGGGGAGCCGAACCGGGATCGGAGACTTCCAGAGAAGGTTCGTGTTCCGAATTGTCCGAGTTGGACATCTTGAGCTAGTTGTTTCTTACGGTTTTTCTCACGAGAAGCAGTATTGTATTGCAACTACCATTGCGTGTGATCATCTGCAATGACAACTGACAGGGAGGAAGAGCAGGTATTTAAGGCATTTAGCATGTGCAGCGATTGGCTGCTGAGGCGTGACGCCCTCATATTTAATGAGGGGGGAAGGGAGCCATAGAGTGACGTGTGAGTGACTCGAGTTAGGTCTTCCTTATTGAACTTGCGCTAAAGCTTTCATTCAGCACCGCCCCACGGTAAAGCCAGCCCACGTTGAAATGGAGCAGTAACCCCTCAAACTTTGCGCTCATCTCGTTACACAAGATAGCGAACAGTCGGTGTTTTAAGGGCCGAGCTTTTATGAAATTCACTACTTGTATAACTTCCTGTAGTATCTGATGTAGTTCATCATCCATTCGTTTAGCAACAAGTGCCTCCCGATGGAGCATGCAGTGCGTTGCCACTACATTTGGGGCCTTCTGCTTTATCAAAGCTGTCACTCCGCTTTTTTTGCCTGTCATAGCCGCTGCCCCATCTGAGCACACACCCACACAACGAGACCAGTCAAGTCCGTTTGAGATGATGTACTCATCTAAAACTTGGAAAATGTCTCTTCCTGTGGTCCTACCTTCCAGTGCTTTGCAAAATAATATTTCCTCAACAAAGTTGTCTTCTGAAATAAATCTGATGTATGCAAGCAATTCTGCGACATTTGCTACATCCATGCTCTCATCCAGCTGCAGAGCGAAATATTCGCTAGCTCTCACTTGCTCCAAAAGCTGAGCAGATACATCTTGAGCCATGTCACCAATCCGTCGGCTCACAGAATTATCTGAGAGTGGTACTGCGTTGATTTTGCTGGCAGCATCCTCACCTAGCATTTCCCGAACAATATCGATGGTAGCTGGTAGAATTAAATCCTCTCCTATTGTGTGCGGTTTCTTTGCACGGGCGATGTGGTATGATGCTAAAAATGATGCCTTCAAGGCCCGCTCAGGGACGCCGGCTTGCTGCTTAAAAGTAGCCGATTGCATCACTAGGTGCTCTTCTTTTCTTTAAAAAAAGTCTATTGATTTATTAGCTTCAGCTGGGTGCTTTTGTTTGAGATGTCGATCAAGTTTAGATGGCTTTAGACCAGTGCTTCTCAAAGTGTGGTCCTCGGACCACTGGTGGTCCGTGAGCGCGCGCCCCCTAGTGGTCCGCGAGTATATTGGTAACATTTCACATTTGAAATTAATTAATCAATTTAAGTTTTCCGCACACTCGCGGGAATATCTCCGCAATGGAGCAAGGTTCAGTTTCACTTTCAATTGCATGATATAGCCCAGCACAACACCTTCATCACACATGTTGCCACTTGTTTGTACCATTTTCAGGAGATTTGTAATCTGTTCTAGAAAAACGATGTGTTTTTTGATATTTGTGGAGTTAGGTGGTCTGCAAGTGTTTATTTATTGGTTAAGTGGTCCTTGGTATGAAAAAGTTTGAGAAACACTGCTTTAGATACTCGTTGGCGAGGATCTCGAGGCAGAGAACACATTTAGGTACATCACGGCCGTTCTTACTTGCCGCGGTAAAACCAAACTTTATGTATGATGGCTCATACCTCCGAGTTTTAGACGGCCAGGTATTCCGTGGCTGTGAATCTTTTGCAGCCGGGACATCTTCATTCTGATCGTCAGATGGTGTTTTTCTTTTAAGATATTTGTCCATTTGATCCTTTAGCAGGAGGTAGCTAGCTAGTGTTCACACAGCAACTCAGTTACACTCTTGGTAGCGACAGCTCGATTCTGATTGGCTTGAAGGGCGGTCGTGTTGTTTAATTTGTTTTTAATATATTAAACAATTGGGCATCAAAGGACACATAGATTGATAGATATGCAATTGTTAATAACATCTAAAAAAACATATATTAATTATTTTTTTCCCTGGTGCCCCCTGGCGGCCCCCTGGGGGGCCGCGGCCCCCACTTTGAAAAACCCTGCTATAGGACACTGTAAATTGCAGTACAAAAGCAAATATATGTTTGTTCACTTGCATGTTGACACAAGTTTTTATAATTGTTTTAAATATTACTAAAGTTAAAACGCATACTAGTACCCACAAGTATGAACTTCTCTCGAACAAACTCTCCATGCTCCTCTTAAGTCCCTTACACCTGGGCAGAGCTCATATGTGAATGGGAGCAGGGAAATCTGTACCACTTGTTTCCCACCTCCAGGCAAAGTGACATGGGTGGAAGTGCCGGTACAGCAGTGTTGTGGACAAATAATTAACATTACAGGGAAAAATAAAAAGGGTTAACTAGGCCTGACCAAAGAAGCTTGAACCAATCACAATATTTCAGAGATGAAGTACTTATTCACAGATTAGCATTTACACCAATGCTGAGGCCATTCAAAGCGCTCCTCACAAGCCATGTTCCTTAAATATTAAGCACTTGTACATCCAGCCCTACCCCATCTTCTTCTTCTGTTGAGTTTGTATGGTAGTCAATGTGTGAATTGTGAAAATCGCTAGTGTTTCCTAAAAGGTTATCCCAGTAAGTTACTGAGAACTATTTGTGAAAGAGTCATTATTCAGTTGACCTTTCAAGCATTCTCTGTCAGGCATCTCTCTCAGCACCATACCTTGTTCCCCTTTCTCTTTTTCAAAGGTCACACATTCTTTACCTTTTTTTGTGTTTGTCTTAGTCGTGGCTGGGGTTTCTGTCTGGATGACCGTCCTTCTAAGAGAGACCTAACCACCCCGCTGGCTCGCCTCGGTGTCCGCTACACCACACACCACCAGTGCCAACTCCAGTACGGCCCGAACGCAACCTTCTGCCATGAGGTCGATGTGAGTGTCTACCGTGAATCCAAGACTTAAAATGTTAGGAATCCATTAGAATATAATCCTTTTCTCATTGTTTACGGATTACATCTTTCTTTCAGAACATTTGCCAGATTCTTTGGTGTTCAGTGAACGGATCCTGTCGCTCCAAACTGGACTCGCCTATAGATGGCACCCGCTGTGGACCGGAGAAGGTGGGAGGTGCCATTTGGCTTTGTCTTGTTAGAGTGTGAATTTCATTAGCCTGGGGAATGAAGATGGTTGGGATACAAGGCTTGTACTGACACAAAGTACTTAAAGTGTCATTTTACAGGTCTTATTTGTGTGATTTTCTCCTACAGTGGTGTATCTCAGGAGAGTGTGTGATTGTGGGTAAACTCCCAGAGAAGGTGAATGGAGGCTGGGGACAGTGGACGAAATGGTCTCACTGCTCCAGGACCTGCGGGACTGGAGTTCAGTCAGCAGAGAGGGAGTGTAACAACCCCAAGTAAGAGCTGATTTTAAATCTGCCATTGAAGTATTTCAGGGCACTACTTTTTTTTGTACATATACCTGCCATAAACCTGTTTATCTTCCAATGGCAAGTCTAACACAATTCATGTTTTTTTTCTTTCAAATGGTTGATTGAAATTATGCTACCGAACAAAAAAGAAGCCAATAAATAGAATGAAAAATAGTTGGACCAAGGGATTTCATTAGCCTCCTCTACTAGCAGAAAACTCGATTGTTCCAACTCTATATTTTTATTAATTAGTGTATTCTTATCTTTTTTTCCCTTTTTAAAACAAAATCCCTGATAGCTCCTCTACACTTGCATAAAACCTCACAAGAATCATACACAACAGACGGTCTTGCATCTTAATTAAAACCACACCATCTACAAATGTTTCTGTCATGTCAATTTATGTAATAATTCTTCTCCAGTCTCATCTGTCATGTCTCACTTCACTAAATTCAAAAAGAAAACAAAGTCTTTCTCTTGTTTTTTCTCCAGACCAGAGTTTGGTGGCAAGTACTGCACCGGGGAAAGGAAACGTTATCGGACCTGTAACACAAAGCTGTGTCAGAATAATGAACCAAGCTTTCGAGAGATGCTGTGCAGCGAGTTTGACACTGTGCCTTACCACAATGAGCTCTACCAGTGGGTCCCTGTGTCCAACCCAAGTGAGTGATCAAAGCCTCAAATATAAAGATAAGTTTAGATACTACAGAAAGACAGACACACACCCTTTAATTAGCCCTTTTTTCCTACCACATCAATCTGAAGCTGCGATTATGTATGTCACCCAACAGATGGCAGCATTTACACTAAAAAGCAATCGCAGCACACAATGCAGTTGGTTGAAGTTGTATGTGGTTTTCAGTTAACTGCAGTTAATGTCCTTGCTGAAGTCTACTTTATATCAATTCCCAAACTGAAATAACTAGTTATATATAATGTTATTTTATAAGGCTTATTAGGTTTTTTGTTCAATAGAAAAAAGAGCTCCAACATTTCTTGACATCATGATGAAACTTTTGTAAGTATCCCTTGTTACTGATAATCAGGCATGACAATAGTAGACACTCAATAGAATAAAGCTACTTTATTCTCTCCTTTTCCCCACCCTTCAACCATCTTCAGTAAACCCATGTGAGCTGCACTGTCGACCAGTCGTTGAGTATTTTACGGAGAAGATGCTGGACACTGTGACAGATGGGACTCCGTGCTTCATGAACAACAAGTCCAGAAACATCTGTGTCAACGGAGTGTGCAAGGTATTGTGGCTGGGTAAGAGACAGGGGGGGGTGGGGGTGATAGTGGAGCAGGATAGGAGTTTTAGTTTAACATCAGTATAAGTGAGTGAGAAGCTTTTCTGTGCAAACTCGCAACTTATGTGACCCTGTTATGTGTCTCTATATTTGTGTGTGTGTGTGTGTGTGTGTGTGTGTGTGTGTGTGTGTGTGTGTGTGTGTGTGTGTGTGTGTGTGTGTGTGTGTGTGTGTGTGTGTGTGTGTGTGTGTGTGTGTGTGTGTGTGTGTGTGTGAAGGCGGTAGGCTGTGACTATGGCATTGACTCAAACGCTGTGGAGGATCGCTGCGGGGTCTGTTTGGGTGACGGCACAAGCTGTGAGACGGTCTACAAGTCGTTTGATGAAGAAGAAGGCTTTGGTAAGTTTGACACAATGAATTTTTGAGCAAATTGAATGATCCAGACCTAAGATTTGATCCAATTATAAAACTGTAATGCAAAACAGACAACCTTCTAATGAGGAGGAGCTTTGATATACCCACTAGACGAGTGTGAAATAGCAGAATTTTAATTTATGTCTACAGGCAGAAAGTCATTTCAGGACAGTTCATTAGCATTACTCCAATGTTTTGTGATGCTGTTGTCATGGCAGCCTTCTGGTCCACAAGGTGCAGCTGTTTGTCCTGCTGGTGTTTGTGTGTGTGTGCGAGTGTGTGTCTATCTTCAGGCCCATGCTTTTATTCAGCTAAATCTTATCTATATCTGACATATCTTTGGCTAATTTAAAAAAAAGTATAACTCACATGCAGAGTCAACACACGGCAACATTTATCGAGAAAGAGGCTCTAAAACAATACAAAAACGTTCTTCCTTCTTTGCCTCTCTTTCTCTCTGCCTGTGTGTTTGCCCCGCACAGCATCCTTTCTAGATAACCAGCCCAGATGTGTAAAACTTCAAAAGGCTTAGACCAGGGGAAAACCTCCCCCTCCTTTGCACAAACACAGAAACACACACACCTTCCCACAAACATCATTAAACTCCAGAGACCTACTCATAGCTGCTTTCGTCCTCCCCCATCCAGCCCCCCATCCACACACAATAAAAAACAGAGACAAGGCAGTGCCCCCCACGCCGAATACGCACACTCACACACACACACACACACATGCCAACCACCCCCACAGACCGAGCCCACCCTCTATTAAAGATCAGAGAGAAACTGTCTGGTAGTCTGGATGTGAGTGTGGCAGCAGCCATGGTGGGCCATCCATTACCTCGCGGTGACTCTGACTCCCCTCTCCACTCTCCCAGGGTACATGGACGTGGGTGTGATACCTGAGGGGGCACGGGACATCCTGGTAAAGGAAGTGGAGGAAGCAGGTAACTTCCTGGTTCTGAAGACCGAGACCTCTGAGGAGTATTTTCTCAATGGCAACTTTATCATCCAGTGGAATGGGGAGTACCAGGCCGGCGGGACGACATTCTACTACGAACGCAGCGGGAACATGGAGAACCTCACGGCGCCTGGACCCACCTCACATCCCGTCATGCTGCAGGTAGGGTCAATCTGCGAAGGGTCATTGTTTTTTGTAGTTTTTAAAAATGTTTGTATTTGAGAGATATATAGCATTAATCAGAAATCCACAATGTAACTCAGTGTCTTTTGAGGGTGGTTTCAACCAATCAGGGATAGAGAAAGGGACTTTAGGATAGCCAACCATAGCCAACCATTCAGAGCATGCACATGGTGCATGTTTTCCAATTGAGCCTAAACATATCTGCGTGAAGGATTAGATCACAATAAATACAGACAGTATATAAACAATTGTTCTCTCAAATACTCAAAGACACCAGATACTAAAATGAAATTGAAGGGGAATTGAACATTTGTTTGTATGTCCAATATTTCATGTTGAAATCATACTCTACATTAAAATTCATGTGGCTGTCCAGTTGCTGTTCCAGGAGAAAAACCCAGGTATAAAGTATGAGTACATCATCAAGAAGACAAAAGGGACAGGAAATGAGGTCATCGAACCCATCTACAGGTGGAGGCACGGGGCATGGACTGACTGCAGCACCACCTGTGGCTTAGGTTGGTGTTGCATTAGACAAGAGGGATCGTCATTCTAAACATTTTTGATGGTAAATAATTTCAGTGACATTTAAGTAACGGCCTGGTCATTCCGCTTTCTGTATTCCTGGCTGCTTTAGGTCAGCAGCACCAGCCTGTGCGGTGCTTTGAGATGGACGTGGGTGTAGTGGATGAGTCTCTGTGTGACCCGGCCAGCCGTCTGGAAGACAGAATCCGAAAATGCAAGATTATGGATTGTCCTGCAAGGTCCTCACTCTCAAATACTGTTTAACTGTTTTTCAGTCACTGTCAGTATATTTGATTTGGAAACGTATTGGTTATGGAACCTCAATACTGTTTTTGTTAACAACTGAAATGTGTTCTCAGAACATATTTAAAAATGCCAGGTAACGACAGTCGTTACTTGGCCTGGACAGATTTATAGTCTTGTTTACTGAAACAGTTTGTGATTTGTGTGCATTGGGCTAGTTTTATCTTGCATGGTTCATTGTGTTTTGAGAGCATATAAAATGTTGTAAGTTGTTGTATGAAAAAAAATGTAGTTGTGTATAAAAACATATGTTTTCCTTAAAGCAATGTATTCCAAAACGCATGGTTTTGGTTCAATGGTATCAAACATTTAGAAATTATAAGCAGCCCTCTTCATTGTCAGAAGATGACACAATCATCTGCTTGCCATCTGCTCCCCATTTATTTTTAAAAGGCCATCAAATCTCTTCTTTCTGGTTTATTCAACCTCATTTTCTGTCCATCCCCTCTTTCTCAGGTGGTGGGTGGGTGGCTGGCAGCAGTGTACTTCCACCTGTGGATCTGATGGGGTACGGAAGCGAACGGTGCTCTGTGTTCGGACAGTCTCAGGGGAGGAAAGGGTGCTCCACCCTGCCGAGTGCAAGCATCTCTTAAAACCCAAACCTGTGGTGCCGTGCAACAGAGATGTACCCTGTGGTCTGAACTGGGTTGTCAGCAACTGGGAAGAGGTAGGATCATTTTTTTAACTGATGATTTATTTTTTATATTACTGCCTTTTCTGAGTTAATGTATAATTTGTGTTGTTCCTTCTCTGCAGTGCCCAGTCACATGTGGAGGCAGTGTTCGATCACGTTCAGTCGTATGTGCACCAAAGAAGACCTGCGACCTCTCAACTAAACCTCGGACCAGATCACTGTGCGCCCTACAGAGCTGCCCTAACTCAGGTCTTCGTAGACGCCCCGGTCCTCCTCCTAAATATCGCCAATTGTACCCTCCTAAGAGCAGCCCCACCAACCACTCCACGCCCACACCTACCTGGACTCCCCCGAGCACCATGGCCACATCTGCACCCACAGCTGCTGTCACTGTGAGGAAGAAAACAACCACCAAAGAAACTACAACAGCTTTCATCCTTACCACTGCTTCCCCTCTAACCCCTCAAACCACAATCCCTGAAATCATAGACACAGATGATTATGAGCCCAATGTTCACGTGAGAAAAAATGAGGATAAGAGAGGGAAAGTCTTCCCATCTAAAGTCAATTCTGCTGAAAAGGACATAAAAACTAAAGGCATTGTAAAGGTAAAAGTTCAGGAGGAGGGAGAGGAGGGCAGTACACCAAATTTGGGGATGTATACTCCAGGATATGATTATGCTGTTGATGATAGGACAACAAAGGAGGAGGGTATTATTGACCTGGATGTTTCCACATCTACACCCCTGAGAAATCCTCTTAAATCAACAACACCAACACTACATATCCTTATTACACCCACTTTACAAACAAATCCGCCTACCGTGCACACAACCAAAGCACCCACCACCTACCCCGCCCCACACACCAGTACTGAATCATGGGCAAAGACCACTCAACACTATCCCTTCTCAGATCAACACACAACCTCTCGTATTAACCCACACAGCCCTTGGACACGCAGGGTTCCCCTCACCACTCCCAGATATCACACAGTACCATCAAAATCTGGTTTCAACACAACACAAGCGTATTCCACAACTAGAAGAAAACCTTTCACCACTGCAGCAACCCCCAAGTCTACAGTGAAGATCATTAAACAAAAGAAGCCTGCAGTGACACCAAGGAAAACCAGTTCTACCACTCGTCCTAAAAATCCTTCTTCCTCGTCTAAAGGAAGTCGCACCAAGAACAAAAACCAGCGACCAGAAGATCCCACAAGCAGCTCCGTCAGTGACAAAAGCAAGCAGATGGCTAGAGAGCCAGTCAGCATGGATATGTTCTGGGTCGTAGGAAACTGGAGCGAGGTGGGTACAGATGTTTTATGCCCATATTATCTTTCATTATTAAGAATCAGACAAGAAAATGTACTTGTTTTCCAAAGAAATTACATTAATGCTGGCCATATTATAAGATACATCTTAATTTTTTGAGATGCTCCTTCCATAAATATGACTCTTATGAAGTGAAAAGCTTTGAAAAACCTGAAGTTTACCACATGCTGTGGCATATGATGCAGACAGATGTAAACATTGTTGTATGTGTGACGTTTTTTGATTGTCAATCGACTGTAGTCATCACTCTTTTTTTTCTGAATGTTCGGCCTTGGTAAACATTCACTTGCAAAGCTAGGAGAGACTGGAAAAAACAGTGTCACGCACACAACTGAATTAAAGTCTGTTCTGTAAGCTCTATCTACCTTCTCTGGAGGTCAACCAATGCTGGGTGATGAAAAGGGTCACTAATGTGATTTAGTCCAAAAATGTCACCACAGAAATCCAGTTGATACTGCTGCTAATGCAAGTGCTCTCCTCAGTGGACAATAGGCTGCGTGATGTTGTGTTACCTCATTCAGCAATCAATAGTGACTTACCATGTATTTCATTTAATATCTTCAAGTTTGTCGGTCAAGTAAAAGTAATTTTCAAAGGCTTCTTCGTGGTAGGAAATCAAATGATGTATGATTTAGAACATGGTTATGGGATGATCTTTTATCAGGAAGAAACAGGCTCAAAATGCACAGAAAGAGATTTTTTAAATTTCTGGTTGTTTTTTTATTAAGATTTGCTAAATATTTTCTTTTCAATATTATTGCCTCACATGTCTCTTTTAAAATGTGTCCATCAAAGTATACACATAAACCCAAGGCAAGTTCTAATAAGAACACGTTCCTCAGTGTTCAACAACATGTGGGATTGGAGCAATATGGAGGACAGTAACATGCAGCTCCCAGAATGATGAGGACTGTGCCAGCAAGAAGAGACCTGAGCCCGCGCGCACGTGTCACCTGCAGCCCTGTGCCACCTGGCAAAGTGGCAGCTGGAGCAAGGTGAGTAACGTTAGATTTCCTCCAGTCACCGAATCCGAGAACTTTACTCAATACTTAATCATCCGTTACTTTTCCAAATGATGAAATGGGTTTGTTGAGTTCTCAAGTGCCAGGTCTTTCTAAGGCATTCAATTTCACCATGATGTTCTCCAGTGTCCTGAAAACTGTGCATTGGTGGGAAGGAGGTACCGTGAAGTCCAGTGTATGGATTCTCAGAGTAAACGTCCCCTCAGACCTTTCCACTGTCAAGCTGTGTCCAGCAGACCCCTCAGCACCCTGACCTGCCCCCACAAGCCCTGTATGACCTGGAGCACATCACCCTGGGGACCGGTAGGACCATTTTACACATCCAATCTCTTTATGTTACAATTAGGCAATCTTTTTTTCACTAGCTTTAAAAAACAAAAAAAGGAATATCCATGTTTATCTATTTTTCAATAATAATCAAAGAGTTTTGATTTTATTTTCCAATATTTGAAAGTATACAGACTTAAGGTAGAGGCAGATATCTTCATAATTTGAGAGAACTAAACCATTCATGTTTTTTCTAGAAACCATTTTCACTAAAGGTCATAACTAATGTTCACATGATGTAGCCCCTACTAAATGAATAATATTATTAACTTAGTTTAAAGTGTATAACAAAACAAGTCAAATTCAATCAAATATTACATTGAGGATTTAGGCTATTCTAGCGGCGTTGTCAAAGCCAAATGTGTGAGTATTGTCACATTTATGTCCCAAAATATATGGATTTTACAATTACGCAATTACAATTACCTTCCTTATATCCCTGTGTTTTCCTCAGTGCTCTGGCAGCTGTGATGAAGGTGTCCATGAGCGGCTGGTGTACTGTCCCGAGCCTCATCGCTGCAGCACCACACTGAGGCCAAACAGCACACAGCCCTGCAGTCTTAAGCCCTGCACCGACTGGAGGGCCGAGGACTGGGAGGAGGTCAGGCTCACATCATCAAGATTTACCCAGAGCAATGAGGGCATTTCAAAATGTTTGGCAGTTTAATATTCCTAGAAGTGGACCTGATGACCATGATTATCGTTTTGTGTGTGTCTTTGCAGTGCTCTGTGAGCTGTGGTGGGGGTCAGCAGCAGCGTGAAGTCAACTGTTTGAGTGAGCAGGATATGGCCGTCATGCCCAACAGCCTCTGTGAGAAGATATCCAAACCAGAAACACTCAGGAAGTGCAATATGCAGGAATGCAAGACCAACACAGGTTTGTACGCAACGATTAGTCTGTCTGGTAGCCTAGCAGGGTCACTGTGGGCACACTTATTTGTAGCTAACCTCACCCTAAATCACCTTAAATAAAATAAATATGACCTGTCCTGCGATGTTTCATGGCACATATTTTCTCTGTTTTTAATATGTGCTATATAAATAAAGTGGATTGGATTTGACGTCTGTCTCATGTTCCTTCTTGCAGGTGCCGTTTGCAGGAAAAACACCATGACCTCTCGCTTCTGTGACAAGCTGAAGCTGCTGGGTCGCTGCTCCCTCAGGTCCATCCAAAGACAGTGTTGTGTCACCTGTCGGCCTTAGTCAGGGTTACACACCCACATATGTATCAAAATCAACACATCCGGACTACAGTCACACTTACTGTACTGTCTTGCTACACTGACATATAACCATTCCATCAACAGTCTGACACGTCCAAACCAAATAGCTAATAACCCCAACGAGCACACGTTAATCGGCACAAATAAAACCTGGATCAGCTCACATCTTATATAGTCATAAGTACATAAAGACATGTATATAGTGAGCAAGAGAACAAGCCAAAAACACTGATGATGAATGAACCTATAGGGACAAATCTCAGAGCTTAATGTTAATAGATTCATGTTGAGGTGAGCAGAAATGCTTATTGGGATTAAAATATTTCTGCTGTCAATATTTCTTTTGTTAAACATTTTTTATGAATTAACTGCCACATTTAGATTTGGACAGATGTTTAAGGACAGTGTTCAAAATATACCATAACTTAAAAAGTATTTACTGGTTCAAAGTACAATAATTCAGTAGAAACAGACTGGAAAAAAAACATGAAAGTAAATCAAATTAATAATTTAGTAGAAAATCACAATTCAAGTTCAAGCGTTACCCCTACACAACTGTGATACATGTGCCTTTGTAATCAAGGAGCATGACTCACAACTCTACACTAAAGTTACCAGTTATATTTTTATTTGAATGGTAACAGGTAAAAAGAGAATGTAAATAACGTTTTTTTTTAGACTTCTATTGTTAATAGCAATAATTAACTGTGTTTTTTCTTTTATATTTTACTTTTTTCTGCTTGAATTGTGGTTTCATCCTCAGAGTTGGCACTGTGTGTTTACATTTTCCTGGGTACAAGTTCCTGTTTTAGTCATTTGTTGTTACGATTGTCAATGATAATTCAAACCTGTGTTGCTCCTCCTCCTAGTGTGAGATTGACCAATGAGAAAGAGGTGTTGCAGGTCATCCCTCTCAGGTCCCTTCTTTGTTTGTATGATGTTGTACAGGCATTACCATTGCCATTGTCACCTTGACTAATTTTTACCTATGTTTTCTATAATAAATGTGACAATAAAATGTGTTAATAAAATAACATGAATTGTTTTGGGTTTTTCCCCTGATTTTCTACATTTAAAGCAATTTATGTAAACATTCAATTTTAGCCTGTAACTTTTGACTGCAAATATTGTGTCACCTGGCCAAATAGCTGACAGCATAGTAGTATCATGACATATAAAGGAAGGAATCAGATTGGTTTCTTAACAACTTCGCAAGCAGCAATAACATGCAATATGCCTGTTTTGGATGTGCTCTGCATTAGTGTATTACTGTTTGATATGATGCAGTCAAGCTACTCTGGGTGATTTAAATCCAACCGATTATTTATATATATTATTAATAATCCTATTCAAATCTGTAACACGGAACTTCCTGGAGAAAGAAGAAGTTGATGATTACGTAGTACGCATGAGGCACAAGCATTGCTGGAATACCATAGTATAAATAACCCTTCTTTGCATCAGCGTCTTCTGCTTTCTGACCTTTCATGTCAGCAAGGTCATTCTCGCCTGAGTAACACCAGAATCGGCAGCAGCGGGCTCTGTTTCAGGGATCGGGTTCAACTGGCACAGATTTCCCAGGATCCTCTGTGCCAGATAACTTGACACGAACGGACACTGCCCCACTGCATGCGTCCTTCTGCTATCATTCGAGCCAGAGACCAAGAGTTAGTCAGCTGTAATGGAAGGAGTAACACAATACTAGGTCAATGTAGCTCATGTCCTAAAAACCAGCAGTGTGTGTGCGTGGGGGAGGCTGTGTGTGTTTGTATGTGTGTGTAATGTGTGTTATCATGACGAAGCAAACACCATCAAGTTGTATTACATAACATCTCTCATACTGTCATCATTGTGTGTTGCTTTATTTGTAGAATTGCACAATTCAGAAAGAAGCTATTTAGATTTTAAACTCATAAGGAAATGCATGGGTAATATAAAATATCAGATTAAGATTTAACGGTGTATTTACTCTTCATAGAAAATGTATTTCAATGCTTATTTATGATTTGAAAGGTCCCACAAGGGCTTTAGACATCTTATTAAATGACCTAACTGAATCATTTAGGATTAACAGAAGACATAGATCTGAGCGATCCAACACAAAGTCAATTAGCAAGCCTTGCTTATGAAAGAATAAAAATGCTATCTTTATTTATATCGATATATCTAAAAAACAAAACAAAACATGCTTTAATTGCAGATGTCAGTGTACCAAACAGTGACTTATCTGGCACAGGTCAATTCCAGCTGAAAAAAACAACAACAACATAAGTGGTTAGTGTTTAGTTGTTCTCTGAAAATGGCAATAATTGTCATAAAATTACTTTTAACAGCTTAAGCAACACAATGTGTTTTTCTGCCAAACAATTGTGGTTTTGGATTCGATGTTTGAGTATTTACTTCATTGTTTGTAGTTTTTCCAGACTTTCTCTGCACAACGCAGTAGCAAACTGATGTTGGCTCCACAGGTTTACTGCATATTATAGTAATGGTTAAAGTATGCCTGATTGGCAGGTAAGTGGTAAATACAAAATGTCACTGTTAAGTGGGCACAAATGTGTTAGATATTCATCATTAGGGATGGGCAGTTTGCATACAATGTCCCACTATGTTATTTTGTATTATTATATCAATATGTATTAAAAAAGGGATACAAATTCACAGACTATTAGAATATTAGAAATTCACTATTTCCATAAACTTTGCAACAATGCTAATATAACGCACTAAAATATATTTTAAAAGCTTATTGGTAACTTTGTCAAAAAAATTACGGAAGGTTGACAAATATTTATTTATCTTAGTACTAGGAGAGTGCATATTGTCTTATTGCCTGTCATTCTACTCATTATAATAAAAAGTTTGGCTGTAAAATGTGAACATGTGTTGCCCGAGAAGACATAGGACAGTTGGAGAGCCTCAGTTGATCCAGTGACTGAGCTGTAAGTAAATTCCTCTGCCCTGCTGAAACTGACACTCAGCAGAGGAGGATGATGTTGGTGCCTGTTCAGGAGGGGGAAGATAACATGACGAACATCAAATGATCACAGTAAAGCAGGAAAAGCAACCTCATCTTGTAGGTTACCAGACACTCCCCAACACATCAGCCAGGAACACATTAAATATTTACATTTGATGACCAACAGAAGAAAAGAAAAAAAAGGCCTCGAGCGTGAGCCAAGCATCTGTTTGCATGTTGTGTCTTTGCAACATGAGGTAACACATTTTTCTGTGATCAATTAAAAGCTTTAAAGTATTAAACATTAAATGAGAATGTTACTTTAATCTGCCAGTTTAGCCCAAATCCCAGTGTAAACGCAGAGAGGGGCTGGAGGAAGCAGGCAGTGGAAAGTAATCTGTGCACCGACTGGCTGTTGGTTTGGAGGAAGAAGTCCGGTCTGGTGGCTCTCATCTGGACTCCATCAGGCTGCATGTCCCCGGGTGGTGAGACTGGCATCCCTGTACCGGGCCTGTTCCTTTATTAAAGCCTCGGCCTCCTCTGACCAAGCACACACACAGAGCGAGCCCCCGGGAACGCAGACAGACACACACATGGTTCCCATAGGTCAGTTAGGTTGTTTGTGAGATGTGCGTTTGACTCCCTCGTGGCCACATATGGATTTGAGTTTAGGTACATCGGAGCGAGGGGCTTTGCTGTGTAAAACATCTGCTTAATGATAGTGTACCAAAAGGGAGGGGCAATTATACTCACAAGGAGGCCAAGCTAAATCAGAGACACATGACATGAATAAAACACATTTCTACAGTATGACTGGCTAATGCCACATAGTATGTAACAGAAAAACAGATTGCATGGTACTCAGGGCTCGATCCACCTGCCACAGGATCCGCATTAAGCAAACTCAAGAGGCCAAAATGTAGCTTCAGAAAGAAACCCAAACTATGTATGTTACACTTCTATCTCACGTCTAAAACTGATTCAACCCAATAACATTGTTGCTCTAACCTTTTGAGGTCAAGCACGTTGTTATCAAGAAAAGAACATCATTAGACACAGGAAGTGATGCATTTAAAGCCGGCGGGCGACAACATTTCAAACAGAACCAACTGCGTAGTTTGCATGAGCAACAAGGCCATCATGGCTTTTACAGGAAGATAAAGTAACGAGAGCCAAAGAGGGCAAGATTGTACCAACATAAACCACAGTTGGTAGGTTCTGTGATAGAAATAATGTCTGATTTAATAATAAAAAAAGAGAAGAACAAAGTGATACACTAGCAACTGTCTGCTTGTTTGATTTACCTTAAAAGTTAGCGCTGAGCTTCAGTCTGCAATGTTCAAAACAACAGATAAAGCCAGAAATCTAGGTGTAGTCATGGACTCTGACCTGAGTTTCAACAGTCACATTAAAACAGTTACTAAATCAGCCTACTATCACCTAAAGAATATATCTAGGATTAAAAGACTAATGTCACAGCAGGATTTGGAAAAACTTGTCCATGCTTTTGTCTTCAGTAGACTCGACTACTGCAATGGTGTCTTCACAGGTCTCACTAAAAAATCTATTAGAAAGCTGCAGCTGATTCAGAACGCCGCTGCTCGAGTCCTCACTAACACTAAGAAAGTGGATCACATCACTCCTGTTCTGAAGTCTTTACACTGGCTTCCTGTGTGTCAAAGAATAGATTTCAAAATACTGCTGCTGGTTTATAAAGCTTTGAATGGTTTAGGCCCAAAATACATTTCTGACCTCCTGCTAAATTATGAACCATCCAGATCTCTCAGGTCTTCAGGGACTGGTCAGCTTTCTGTCCCCAGAGTCAGAACTAAACATGGTAAAGCAGCATTCAGTTATTATGCTCCAAATATCTGGAACAAACTCCCAGAAACCTGCAGGTCCGCTGCAACTCTGACTACTTTTAAATCCAGGCTGAAGACTTTTCTTTTTGTCGCTGCTTTTAATTGAACTATTCACATCTTAAACTGCACTGTAACTTTTATCACTGTAACTTTTATCCATGTATTTTTTCTTTTAATGTTTATTTTATTAGCTTTTCTTTTTAATGACTGATTTGAAATGCCATTTTCTTAATGTCTTTCATTTTTTGTAAAGCACTTTGAATGGCCTTGTGTTGAAAGGTGCTATATAAATAAACTTGCCTTGCCTTGATCCTAACTTGTTCCTGTTTGAACTCAAATACAAATGTAAATGTATTCACATAATTATTGAGTTAAAGGAATACAACTAAAACAACACTTGATGCTTTCATTACTTTATAAAAATAAATGCAGACGAATAAGAGTTTGCTTTTGACAAGCTAACTTACATGAAACGCTAAAAGTACAAAAGACAATCTTTCCATGTGTTTCCCCTCGATTCCTTTTTCTTTTTGGCATTTCGTACTGTGTGAAATCAAATCTCTGCTGACGCGTATACATTTCCGGTATTCAAGTTTTCATTGCCTTTATTGTAATTATGTTCTGTTTTTGAGAATAGCGTAATAACCCAGCTAGAGCCACAGCCTGGGAGGGATCAGAAGCACATTTGTCTGTTCTATTGCCCATTGTTTTGAACTTTGAAATGCAATTCAGGGATAGATCTATAAAGATACACTAAATGCAAAAGCTGTAGAGCAGGAAAGAGATGAGACCATCTCCAGACCCCGCAAATCTCACTTATATTGCATTTAGGAGATAAAACACAGGCACGGTTACATTTACAAAGAATTTGCTCCTTGGCCTCTAAAGAAATCCTGCAAATCATTTCAGGCCCACATCCCTCTAAGGCACCTACAGAGGACATTACTGTCTTAGTGGAAAGAACAGTAAGAGCTGACTCTTCAGTCTCTGATCCCTTATCTGAGAATCTGACCATGCCTCCAATGTGAAATCATTTAGTGGGAATGCTGACACAGCATTCCCACTATCTGTTATGCTACGCACTAAATTCTTTATTATTTCGCCGGGTTATTTTGCACCTCTTCTTCTCCCACATTCCACATCACGGAAACTCCGTTCAAACATCAAAACTTTCAGCTCGGTCGGGAATCGATGGCTATTACTTTTCTCATTCATAACTTTCATAATTTCAGAGATACATCCCATAATTCATCACATTTTTAACATGGAAGTCAATGGAGAAACTCTTCAGACTTGAACAATCTTCATGCAACTTCAACTGCTAACTGCTCCTTCATACTTTCACTCAGAAACCTCATTCCAACTTTAAAAAGTAACACTGCTTTTCTGATTCGTACTTTTAGAGATATTAAACATTGTTCAGACATTGGTAAAGAGGCCTTCTTCAGATTTTAGAGTGCATGATGTCACAGCTAGAGTGGAGGACAGATTTAATGTTGCCTTCATATTTTCTTTTAAACCTGCCATAATTCCCAAACCCTACATTCCTGAGACATAATTTTTCATGAGGAAACGTAGGAAAACATCTCGTTGCTTGAAAAATAAAAATAAATTAAGCAAAAATAATTAAACAAAATGCCTCTTGAGGACATGAAGTGACAAAAACTTTCAACATGTCTCCATTAAGCCCCATTGTAAGTTCAGCCTCATCTTTCCCCACCACAGTAGCCGCACACCTTTTAGTTAATCTGCCAAAAAGGCCACATTATTAACCCGAAAGTACACAAAAAGTACACTTCAGATGCTCAAGTTCCTTGACATGCTTCACGCTTTGACAATTCACCGATGTTACGGTTCTTCAACAAAACGCTCATATGTAAGAGGTTTATCTCTCATTCAGAACAATGAAAATGCTCTCCTCTCACTGATTACTGCATATCACCATGGAAACCTTTGATCTCTGGACACGTCATTAGCTAAAATATTAACACCTGTGTCATGGAACACGATGATGTCATAACTCCAACTGACATGCTCAGAGCACCAGACTTCAGGTAACAGCTCTATGTTAATTAGGGGGGTCATCATATGCCGTTTCCATCCCTCGCCATAAAAGACGATGTCGCTATAACTCTTATGAAAATGTTCAAAAAGTGCTCAAACTTCACATGTGTGCTAACAGTCCAGCCGTGAAGACATCTACGGGACAGTTTTGAGAGATTTCTTCAAATGCTGTTGCCATGGCAACACAATGCTCACCATGAAACACGGTTTTCTCATAACTTCAGTGAAAATGCTCCAAACGGCCCAAAACTTCACAGGTTTGGTAACGATGCAGCCATCAACGCATCTAAGCGTATTATGGGATGTCATCAAATGCCGTTGGCGACAGATCATTCGCCATTAAGTTAGTTCAAACGTTTGCAGTTCAAATATTCTGCTGCTTTTCCAAGCCTTTTTACTTTATTTTCTTCTCTTATCACACATTCAAGCCCCCAGTGTTCATGTATAATTTCAATCTAAATTATTCACTTTCTTCTTACACATTACATTTCAGCATAGCAGTTTAGCGTCAGCTTTTCAGCATAAAGCATTCCCACTAGCAATTTCTTCAGGAATTGCATTCTCTAGTTTCTAATGAAATCCTGATGCATTAAACTGAGAGCAACACACTGGTCTGAGCTGTCACTGAGCTATTTTACAGTATCTTACCTATCATACTTCTAATAGAAAGAATAGAGCGTCGGTCCATGATTGTCCAGTGAACCGTAGTAGAACGCAGAATGATAAATCACAGACAAGCTATTTCATTTAGTACTTTTCCCCAAAATATTTTCCAACAAACATATTTGCATATTTCCAGGCCACACAATTTGTATATAATAAAATGTTTCTTTCAAGATATTGTCACTTACATTTCTTACAGTCTTACAGTCAAAGTAATTAAACCTCGCCGAGGTTTTTAAAGAAGATAATAGAATACAATGAATGCACAAGATTAACCGATCTAAAATGAGTATTTGGTATTTGTGTCTATTTGTGCTCATTTTAAATTCAAACATTTAAATGAGCTATCTTGAGAAAACAAAGGAGAAAAAGCTCTTTACGGAGAGATAATAGAGTTGTGTTTAGTTTGTTTTCTAGTTTATTCTGATTATTTTCTCTTTTTTTCTATTCCACATGCTTTGTAAATGCAAGACAGGACATGTATGTAATAACATGTTGGATAGCCTAATTTTTGCATGACACAAATAAAAAAAACAATTAATAATTAGATAGTTTTCATACAAATGACAAACTTTGATTTAATGATAAATAACATATTTTACTTTAACTACAACATGATAAACAACATTTGTGTTTGAGGAGCTCGGGACCTAAGATTTTCATTGCCATAAGTACACTGTAGCTGTGCACATAATAATAAAACCTTTGAATCTTGAATCTTGAAAATAATATAAACCTTCAATAGAGATACATATACTTAAATCAACATTTAGATCAAATCATTCATTGTAATAACACCATTTAGGTAAAGTAGAAGCCATTTTAAGCAATGAAAATAAATCTAGAACAACTTAATCTACTAATAATCAATAAGAATGATGGCTGCTCCTCCCAGCTCTGTTTCCTCTGCACTGATTCAGGTTATCACATTGGGAAGGACACCACAAAGGAAGCCATGATAAGATAGCTTTGTTTGTATCCCAGATAAAGCCATGCCAAGACCAGACTGCTGTTCTGGCCATAGATCGTTGACAGACATTAAAGCAGGCACTACAAACTGGGACTTAGGGCAAGGAAAGCGAGGAAGAGGACAGACCCGGACATTAAAAACACAAAGATCAGGGAGGACAGATAAGACTGCCAGCACAAGTTTAGTTTATCACAGCAGATGGTTAGAAATGTCACCACATGGCCCTTGATCATTGTTAACATCTTAATAAGACTTTAATTGTCTCTCTGGTGTTGCAACACTCTTTGCATAATGTGAAGTGTTTATTCTAACCCTGCTACTTTTGTGTCGATTGAAAAAGAAATAATGTAATTGAATCAAAAAGATACATTTATATCTAACTTTGCCTTGTCAGTGTGCTTCGTGAGAACAGTGACCGTCCCTAATATTTTGCACATTCACTCCACATATTGTGCATTGTTGTCTAGTCCGCTATGATATTGTCCATCCTGTGCCTGCCTTGCCTTGAGGAGCAAATGATGCATGGTTCGTTTAAGAGAGTCTCATTGGCCGAGGAACACTCAGACACCTGAGTCCCAAAGGAAGGCGGAGGTCTGCTGAGTGAAACTAGAGAGCTTCATTGCATTACAGATAACACACTACGATAAAGTGCCTTGAGGGAAAGAGAGAGGAGAGAAGATGGCCGTGATAAGACCAGCTTCCAGAAGGAACCGGCCATAGTAACTTAATATGATTGATTGATAATATGATGATTTTGATCTGAAGAGATAGAGCAGGATGACCACTTGTTAGGATTATCACATCTTAATGAGTAATAAGTGGGTCTACATTTTGTATTCATTCACACTCAATCTTACACAAGATAACAACAAAAAAACACGAGTCCTACCATACAGAAAACAGAACAACCCTTTGATTATTCAATAAAGCCATCACCAGTACAATCTTTAGCCTTAGGGACAGATCCAATACTACCAGACGGCTTCTTCCTGCCCTGCTGCATCTACTCAAATAAACCCTGCTATCACCTCTCACACACTCTCATAAGTTAGATCAACTTGTATGTAGGCGTAGGCACACACACACACACACACACACACACACACACACACACACACACACACACACACACACACACACACACACCACACACACACACACACACACACACACACACACACACACACACACACACACACACACACACACACACACACACACCACACACACACACACACACCGCTCCCATATGTGCGAGGGGAAGTTGAGTAAAGGAGGGAGGGATCAATAACTAACAGAGTTACACAGCTACACACAACACAACACAGTCATTTTCTGTGATCAGCCTCCAGGTGAGGAGATCATACCAGGAATCCTTGTATCAAGAAACCCAACGAAGTGGAGGCAAATCACTCTGACTCAACCCTTAGAGCGAGAGGAAGACCTCCCCAGACCGTTACCTCCATGCTTCATGAAGGTGGAGTCATTTGGGGGTAAATAGATGAAGAGAGAACACAGATGGATTATCTCACATGCGCCCGGATTGACCAGCGTTCCTCTTTAAGTCTTGATTCCTGCTTTTTCTCCTCAGACTGAAATCTGAAAATCCTTTTCTGCACACGTGGAGTGAAGCAGCTATTGGACAGGTAGATTGCCTTTTTCTTTCATTGTACTGGAATTAAGGATTTTTTTTCACATGGCAATCTTTCTGACTGGATATCAGTGAAATTTATATCTTTTTATTTTCTGTTTTTTTTTATTTAGAAAGTGCCTGGAAATAAAAGGGTCACACGAGCAGCCGAGTATAGTCAACATTTACAAACAATTTAGAGCGATTAGAAAACGTAGGGGAAGTGGAAAAACAGGTTCAGTACTGGAATAAACTCAAAAAGTAATCGGTGTGTTGTTTTTGTCGTAATCTTTGTTCATTCAGACTGTTTTATTTTCCAAAACAGACTTTCTGATCTTCAGCCTAAAACTTTATCGGTGGAGAAGAGGACTCACATTGACTTGTTGAACACTATCAAAAATAATTGAGAGGGAAAGAATCTTATCCAGGTGCTAAATAATTGGGACTCTGCAGGGGGACCACCTCGCCGCGTCTGGACTGTGGAGGGCTCCCCTCCCTGCCCTCCCAGCCTTTTCTCGCCCCCAGCAGCATGTCCCAGGCTCTGAGGCTGCCTGTAGTCCTCCACACAGCACACTACCATGATCAGATGGGCTGCTGGAGGGAGTAAGGCTGCCTCTGCCTCGTCCTGCTCCAGGGCTGGGTTAGGGGCTCACGCTGGGACCAGACTGAGATCCCCATCCACACTGCTTTCCTCCCTGTCTTTGCCTCTCCTGGTTGCCCTGGTGTTTTTTTCCTTCTCCCTACCGGGGGCAGCTTGCCACCAGCCCCGCAGAGACAGACTAAGGCTCGCCAACCCTCGAACTCTCAGGGTCCCACTGAACATTTCTGAGACTGAGGTTGTGTCTAGGCCCAGGGCCACTGGGGGCCCCCTGGGTCGGACTGGGGGGCCACAAGGCAGGCATGTGCGCAGCTACAATCATCTCACAGGGGACATGCGGAGGAGGAAGCTGTTCTCTTTCCAGAAGTTTTTCCTGAGGATCGATAGGGACGGAAAGGTCAATGGAACCAAGAGCAAGGATGACCCCTTCAGTAAGTAATTCCTGTTGATATAAATGTGCAAAAGTAGACAGAAAGGAAGGAAGCAGACACCAACGATGATCTGAGTCTATGTGGTGGTGGCTGCAAAAGTTAAATGTGAGAAGAAACCAGGCTCATTTGAGCACACACACATCAGTTTTTACAGCCAAACTGCCTGTGTTAGATTAAGGCTTTTAATCTATGCAGCCAAAACTTTTGACCTTTTAAGGCATTTGTTTATCGCGCACAACAAAGAGCACCTGTGGGACATTTATTGCAATAAGAAACCCTCTTAAATGTTTAGTTATTTCTCATTTGAGAAATCAGGTGGTTGTTCTTTATAAGAAATGCATAAACTGGATATATTACTCTGCGTAAAACATCAAATTTATATAAAAGCATGTTTCTTGGATGATATTCTGAGACTGCCAGCCTGCCCATTGGTTGGTCGTTTGGATGAAGCATTAGAGTCGTATTTTGTTTTAAACCAGACATCCCACTGGTATGTCTCCTGTCCAAACGTTCAGCACAAAGATGGTAGCTCTCAGATGGCTTAAAAAGGAGCAGGGGCTGATAAGGCAGCCATTATCAGGCTGTCTTCACAGCCCTGGTTAAACAGCACTGATAACAACCACAGAAGAACAGGGATAGGGGTGCGAGGGGGAAGGATATGGTTGTCAGTCTCATCGATGCTTTCAGACTTTTTCTGCCTGTCTGTGTCTGTGTCTCTCTCACTCTCCCACTCAGTTTGCTCGCCTGCCAGCCATCGTCCGGCAAATTACATACCCTCCATGACAGATCAGACATTTGTTTAAAGCAGTTTGACATGCTGCACTCAGAGAAACAAGTCTTTAGAGTGATTACACGTTGTATGTTTCGGGATATCAGTCAGTTAAATAGCTTTCTCATTAGTCTTCCAGTGTTCCCACCGAGCTAAGTGTGTGTGCCTATCAGCCAGCAGGCGCTTACATGCTTCAGTGGGTGTGTGATCATATAGCAGCGGAGGATGACACATGTGCTCCCTTATTACTGACACACACACTCACACATACAGTATACATCTCTCACATGCTCTTTTTTCCCTCCCTCCCTCTCCCACTCTGTCTCCCAACCCAGAGTGTATATGGAAGCTTTTAATGTTCCTCTTGGGAGAGCTAAACCACATATTCAATCAAAGTGACTTAGGGGAAATGGCATGGGGAGGCATAATGTCAGGGGAGATGTTTGTTTTGACAAGGTCATGAAAGAGGCAACTTTATTTACTGACCATATCGCAATGCCTTTACTGCATTTTTGTTAGTGGTAGTAGTAGAAGTTGTAAAACTGAAAGGAAGTCTGACTCAGTTATCATAACAGTGGTGTGTGAAATCATCCCAAACTTTATGCATGTTTGGAAGAGGATTTACCACTCTGTCTTCTTTTTTATTGGCCAGCACCTTCTCATTTTTAGGAGTGTGTTGCCATTTCCAAAAGTCAGTTTGAGGTAGTTCAGAGTGAGCATTGAAGGGAGGTGAAAGAGAGCACAGGGGAATCTCTAGAGGTACAAGTTCATGAATGACATGGCTGAACATCATTGTGGCCACATCAAAGCCGCGCGTCTTCAGTATCAATGGTGGTGCCATCAAAAAGCTGTGTCCTGGGGGGGTCTGAGGACACTGTGTGTGGATTATGTGCCCTCATATCAGGTTCACACGGTAAAGGATACTACACAACAGCAGCTTCAGTCTTTGCTCTGGCCCCTGGGGCTAGACATGATCCCAGGGCTGACGTCCTTTGTAGACCCTCGATGGTCCCTTGAAGTGACAAAATATCAAGTTTTTTGCAATGAGTGGAGGATGGCTTACCTTTTGCTGAGCCAGAAGTTGCAAGACAAATCCCACTACATTGATTTTTTGCAATAGATTAATTTATAGATTTACCATGCTTTTCTTAGAGGTGTATGAGATGTGGAGGCTTTGGTTTTGGGTGCCGTCTGTGGCCCTGCGAGGACCCGGCTCACTGTCTGTTAAAGAGCCAGTATCCAGCCTCCCACAGATTTATGGGGATGCCAGCGCAAAACTGTCCCACATGGCTTTCAAACCCGCTGAGCGCCTGTGCTGAGGTTACAGAGAGGCAGAGAGAAAGGGAGGGAGATTATGTTAAAGTCAGCTAAGTAGGTATCTGCATGGCCTAAGTATGTGATTAAAATATGAGTGATTCACAGCTGAGTTCTCCTGAATGTACGACGACTAGCGGCTCTGAGTCAAATATTGCTTAATAAGACTAAAGGCAAAAGTTTGGCGGTAAAACATTTTGGTAATTATCCGAGGTTGTGACAGTGTGAGAGGGTGAGCCTGTCAGGGTTTGAGGGTTTGTGTGTGCGTGTGTATATTTCTGTCCCGCCATCATTTGTGATTCTGTGCTTTAGGGGCCACGTGTGCAAGATGCTTCTGGATATGGTTCAAAACGTGTGTGTGTGTGTGTGTGTGTTATATGTGAATGTGTGCTTAAGTGTTTGTGCATTCATGTCCTTTAATCAAAGCAGTTGCCTTTTGCGTGGGGAAATAACAGATGGTGCTCTTATTGAGGTTTTAGAAGATAAATGTATAGCTTTTCTCAGAGGTGGGGAAAAGGATGCATATCCCTTCTGTGCAGATACATTCTGTGTGGTCTGTATCAAGTGTTATTACTGTGTATCCTGATTTACGCCTTGTTCCACTTCATTTATCCTCATGGGAATGGCAGAAATCCTTTTTTTTAATTTAAAAATAACAGCAAAGCAGGGGTGAGGAGGAATAACAATTCAAGATGCAAAGCACATGATTTCTGGCATCCGACTGCGGAAAAACCACCTTTAATTCTCACTGGCATTGTGTGCCTCCATTCCAAGACCAACGCAACATTTACTGTTGTAACTCCAAACAGAACTCTCAAATAAGCCACACAGAAAAGCAACCAGCATGCAAAAGAAAAACTGCTGTCTCCCCAAATAAACAGCTGAACCTGCACGGCTGGCTGACTTACGGCTACATTTTTCACGTGTGGTTTGTAAAATGTACCACGTAAAAAGCATTGTTGTCACATTTGAGGCTTAATGTAGTAATGTGGAGTAGGCTGTTTTGGTGGTGGTGTTTCCCCATACTTGCAGCCATTAACTCATTACTCTCTGTGGGCCAAGCTCAGCACCAAGCAGAGAACAGTGAATGGAGATTGTGCAGTTTCACAGCCAGGTTAGATTTGCAAGTGCACATTCACCTGCTACAATATCATCTCTGTGTATGTGTGTGTCAGTACGTAGATACGTGTGCGTGCCTGTGTGTGTATGCAACCTGTCTCCCCTCTGCCTCCGGTGGCGGACTTTGATCAGTGATCATTACAGACTTACTAATCCTCACTCCACCCCCAGTCTCACTGTCATGGCTCCTCTGTCCTCCTCTGTTCTCCTTCCTTTCATCCCTCCCATGTTTACAGAGCAGCCAGAGACTGCCATAGATTGTCTTACATCCTCACTCCGTACCCGACACCCGATCCCATACAGAAACCAGCTCCTCTCAGATCTTCAATGGCCGTTGTGATACAGTCCCCACCACCGCCTTGCCGCTTCAGACCTCACTGCCCCGAGGTGCCACTGTTTGAACTAGAAACTGATACAGTCAAGACCTCATAGACAGGAGGGAAGCTGCTCTATTTAACAAAAAAGAGATTGATCTTTGGGGGCACACCTGCATCCTCCACTGTCCCCTCATGTACCAGGCTGGCCCCCAACCACCGGAGAGTGGGCCTGACAGTGGGGCGGGCTACCACACAAACAGTCATCAGACAGAGGAGGGGTTGCTGATCTGATCAAAGGTTGTCGTTGACTGGAGTTCACACCCCACGCTGTGTGTGTGTGTATGTGCACACATGTGTGCTTATCTGGATAAAATAACGACAGCTCACAGGAAGTGGGGAAAGGAAGTCAGGGAGGGAGGCATGAAATCAAACATGCCATGGGAACAGGGGAGGTTAATGTGCGCACAGACACACACACACACACACACACACACACACACACACACACACACACACACACACACACACACACACACAATAAGACGAGACAAGTAGGTTCTGTGGTCAAAGGACACGCTAGGAAGTTATACCTCTCTGACCTCTGATACTTAGACCACACAAATAACCACAGCTGTCAGGGGCAAAAGCATGCCCTTGTTAACTGGGGTATAAATTAGCCCCTCTAACAGCCTATGAGAACCCTGAATTGCTTGCACAGGGACTTGGAAACCTAAAAACCAAACAGAACATAAACAACCTGAGAATCTCTGCGGTATCCACCTATTCATTTTCAAACTAAATGGCTTGCGCAGCTGGAATCTGTTACACAGGTGTAGGTTGTAAAGTGCCTTTATAATATCAACATAACGATAAATCTTGCTTAAGGACTTACGCAGAATTCCCACACTGTGTGTTCCTAAATGTCCTGGAATGAGCGTGCAATATTTTGTTATCCGTTCGTTACTCTCACCCTCTCCGAGTTCTGTAAAACGTTATGGATTTATTTATACAATTCTGTCTCATCTACGAGTCGAAAACACGTTTTCTTTTCTTTGTTTTTTTTTGTCTACGTGAATTTTTTTTTAAGTGTTTTGATCTCAGCAGTTGAGTTACATGCACAAATGACATCAAGCTCCTATGCTCACTGTGAATGTTTACATACATTGATGTAACTGTCTTTTTTGCTGAACCCTAGGCATTCTGGAAATCACATCGGTGGACGTGGGAGTGGTGGCCATCAAAGGGCTGAACAGCAACTACTATCTGGCTATCAGCAGGAAGGGAGAGCTGTACGGAGCGGTTAGTATCCGGGTCAGGGGTCAATCTGAATGCTCCAGAGAAAGAGAGATAGTCTGTCCTTATCAAAGGAGGTCTTATCTTTACTTCTCTAACTGCTGGGTCAACTCTAAAAACAACCAGGCCAGTGCGCACACGTTAACCTCTAACTATGCAATTTTAGAAGAGCACACTAACTTCTACTCTAGCTCACAAAGCAAAACATGCAATATGGATTAAGGAGGAGTAGTAAATAAACACGGTACCATGAGCAACCACAATGGATTTGCACAAGAAAATTATGTGTGTTTTGCCTTAACCTCACATGCCTGGGTTAAAACATTGAAACGTGATACCTACTGTTTTTACAGAGAGAGTTCGGTGTCGACTGCACCCTGAAGGAGCGCATTGAGGAGAACGGCTACAACACGTACGCATCAGCTGAGTGGAGGAACAAGAAGCGGCAGATGTTTGTGGGTCTGAATGTCCACGGGAAGCCGCTGAGAGGGAAGAAAACCCGCAGGAAGAACACGGCCACCCACTTCCTTCCAATTATGGTGTGAACTGGAGGGATCAACAGGGGGAGGAGGATAAGCAGCACTGGACAGAGAGGTTTTCAATAATAAAAAAGCTGTAAAATAAAGACATTCACTGAGAAATCTCATATTGGAAACAAGGCACTAACACTGTTACACAAAAAAATATGGTATCTGCTCCTGACTTTTACTGAGATCACGTACTTTATTTAGTGGGAAAGGATGATATTTGTGTTTTCTGTGGCACCGGATGCAATATTTATCCTTCTTTTCTGTGCCAAACTGTTGCAACTGGAGTATGTATGTAATGCAGACAACACAGGGGATACTGTCCCAGCTAATACTGCGGTAGATGCAGAAGATGTTATTTATAATCCACATTTTACAGCGAGAACCCAGATAATCCGCAAGATAAAAGGAGAGATGAGACTAGACAAGATGAGGGAAATGATTGGTCAGTTCATCACCACAGCATGAATAATAGAGGATGCAACACATTTAAAGCAAATGTTTGATACTTAACCACTGTGTTTTGACTGTAATGTAATGATTTATTTATTTTTGTGAAATATTTAACTGGAGGGGAATACTTACAAGGCAAGCATTCCTTTGCATTCTTTACTTTTTATAGGAACTCTTTTATGTGAAATTAAAATAAAAAATTCTCCTCTGCAATGTAGTTGTCTGACTTCCTCAATACAAGGAAATTGATTTTACTGAAGTGGAACAGCAAGAAGTGAGAAACCCTGCTGAACTTTCAGGTCACAGTTAGTCTATTCTTATCTGAGGGCCAAAAGGCAACTGTAATGCCTCGCCAGATTTTCCATGTGGCAACCATTGCACTAATGATTATTTCCAAAGCAAATAGGAAACATATAGACCAACAACAACAAAATGGGAGGGAGGTTCCTTCTGTGGTATTGCCTGTAGATGCTGACATAATATCCTAATATTACAGATCTGCCACAAAAAATCTAAAATATCAAACGAGCTCTGTCATGTTGGACAGCATCACTTCTGCCAATATGTTTACGGCAGGGCCTTGCAAGTGTGTGGAGGCAGAAAGAGAGATATGACCTGTGTCTGACCACCCATTTCCCTTAGTAATCATCTACAAACACACTAATCAATGACAGCTGCCTTGATGCCAGATCAAAAGACCACAGGGAGAACATTAACACCACAGGCTTCCGGGCCTCATGTTCTCTTATCCCGCCTCTCTGAACATCCATCTCAGCAACGGCACGAGAAGACGAAGAGAGTAGATTTAGACAGGAAGGTGAGAGACCGGTGGCAAGATACATTTATCCAAGTTGGCCTGTGAGTGGGGCTCCAAAGCAACAAAGGCAATGTGAATCATATTAATAGTACAGGAAACAGTTTATGCTATAGTATATTGTCCTTTCATTGCCGTTTAAGGAATCACCGCGACAAATTATTAATGCCAAGGAATGCTGCAATGGAATCCACCATGACAGTCAGGGCCAATGGCAACATATGGAATAGTATTTCATGACAATCTCTGCACCATACACAGTCAAATGCATGGTGTTGTTGTTGCTGAGGCCAAGGGTATATATTTTTGGTTTCATTTACTTATATTTCTGCACTAAATTTACAAGAAAGACCTCACAATGGGACGGTTGATTTGGTCTCTGTAGCACTGCATTTCCCTATATTTTTCTTTAAATGCAAACTAATGATGCAGACAATAAATCGTTATGTAATCTACATAATGTGAACTGATGAAGCCGCAAACTCCACTCTCTTGCATTTAAAACCTGTAATGGTGGCTATGCACATGATTCCCGCTCAACAACAATCCTACAGTCATATATCACATTGTGCGTTCTAGAGATTTGTGAATGTTTGAACTCCCTCCAAGACATTGGCATTGGGGGATAAACAACAATAATAGCAAATAAGGGGCAGTAATCGTTTTATCGAAGTGGGTTTCCATATTCTGGCACGGGAATTCTCTGTGGCATAATGTGATCCAGCTTTGGGAAACAAGTGGAAAATGGCTGGAGGCTCAAACAACTAATGAATACTTACACTGAGAGCTCTGGTGCAACACATGTTTGTAGTGGGCAGCTACTGAGAGAGCTCAGGGAGGGAGGCTCTCTGGAGGGGCTGCACAGGTCCAGAATCGCCTCTGTGGTGCATAAATGTGGGTCAGATATATCAGTTAGTTCCACAAAATTGTACAACAGTGCTTTTGTAGATATAATAAATCAATACTACGTCATTTGACATATTCAACCACTCATACAGGTCCATCATCCAGATAACCTAAATCACAAAAATGGGGCAGTGGAAAAAACGCAGACACTCGAGGCATACAGGACTTTATAGGTCACATAGGGTTTTAGAAGCAAAACCATCCAAGTAACTGTAACTAAAGTCAATACTAGTTCATTTTAACCAAGACATTTTCCACATTTAGTCAAATTGTTTGTGTGTTATTTAGTCGAATTTCGACTTGTGACATTAGTCCTTCAAAAATTCAGGCCACAGTAGCATATTTTGAATGATGGTCAGGCACCAAGTCGGTTCAAAATAATGCATGTATTCCTATTTAGTTCAACTTAAAGAAGCACTATGATTTGTATATAAATGTGTATGTTTAATTGTGTGCAGCTTTCTTGTTTAGCTGTAGTCATAACTTTGTGTAGGCACAATGACAGCTTAAAATTGGAGTCAAATACCTTATTTTTTAAATGTTTTATTCTCATATTTATTTTAATGTGTGAAATAAATAATGGTTGACTGTTTACATGTTATGGAGTTAAAAATCGGAATTATTTTTACCATCAGTGATCACGTCTTCCTTAAAGGCCCTGTCACACTGTCCCGAAATTGACTCCCGATGGACACACGAATATGGAATTGTGAATTTCGCACGATGATGGCCCCGAACCACACACGAAGGCAACATTTACATTACATTTAAGACATACAACTGCAATGAAAGTACCAAAAACAATTGTGTTACAGTACTATGATACTGTAGTGATATCTTCAGACTTTGTTCTTTACTTTATCCGTCGTTATATGTAGAAAATATTACATTTTCTCCATAATGTTGTTTCCATAACAACAACAACTTCCTGTCAACTGTCCTTCAAAATAATATATTATATCCTTTTTAGTTTCACAGAACACAAATTGGGTTATTTACATAATATATTTACATGATTTTGTTGTGCAATAAAACAACCCGATGGACACACGATAAAGGAAATGTTCAAATTCGGCTGTGATCGTAGCAACATCGGGCCATTCGTGAGGGCATCTTAAACCATCGTATGAACGCCGGTGGAGTTTCTCAGGCTCCGGCAGCAACTTCGTGAGCGGTGGCAAAATCTTTGGCATGCCAAAAAATTGACGAAGGGCCTTGCGAAGGTTCATTTTCGTGTTGAATTCGTGTGTCAATTGTGCCCTTCGTAAGGCCATCGTGAGGGCATCGTGTTATCATCGGTGCCATCGGGCATTCGCCCCGATCAGAGTGAGGGTGAATGCACCGATGATAACACGAAGATGACACGATTTGACAAGATGTCCTCACGAGTGCCTTACGAAGTTGCCGCTCACTAAGTTGCTGCCGGAGCCTGAGAAACTCCACCGGCGGTCATACGATGGCTTAAGATGCCCTCACGAATGGCCCGATGTTGCTACGATCACAGCCGAATTTGAACATTTCCTTTATCGTGTGTCCATCGGGTGTCAATTTCGGGACAGTGTGACAGGGCCTTAAAGGTGGGGTAGGTAAGTTTGAGAAACCGGCTCGAGATACACTTGTTGTTATATTCCATGGAATGCTCTTAACATCCCGATAGCAATGAATATCTTAAGTGCTTTGACAAAAAATCCATAGAAAAATGTCATCAGTGGAAGCCGTAGTACTGTAAAAAGCACGACCAATCATCTGAGCCGGCCCGGCTAAAATAACTGGATGGCCTACCTGCCAGTCAGCCTTCCATCTGTGCACAAACTTATCTCGTGCCCTCATTGGTCATGTGCGCGTTCGTGTGTGTTGGAGGAGGGGCTCTTTAAGGAAGTGGCAGATTTTTTTCGGTTGTGTATTTTCAAATTCTAGTGCACTCGAGCTGGATACAGTGTGGGAGGCGGGGCCTCATTAATTCCTATGAGAGTTGCTCAATGGCGCATGATGACAAAATGGCCCAACTTTTGAGAGAGCGAAACGTCACAGATTACCCGGCATGCCTGAGAAGTACCCGTATGTGTGCACTCATAGAGCATGCACAACTTTGACCACGCCGCCCAAAAGGCTCGTTCACATTAAGCACGTGAATTTGCGTACACGTAACAGCACCACGCGTTCATGACAGCATGGTACTGGATTTATATTAACGAGGCGGCAGTTAGCAGCTAGCGGCTAGCTAGTAAATTATGCGAAGTATTACGCTGACATCAGGATCTAGTGATATCCAAGCAACAGAGCTTCATTTAGCATGATACTTGTGTGGGTTGTACATGAAACCACTTGGTAAAATGTATATGTTGAAGCCTGTTATGATCAATTGAGAGTTAAAACTTTATCTAAAAAGTAAAGCTGATGATGGATTACTGTGGTGGAGTTAAAATAACAATAGTGTGGTGACACCATGTGGGACCATAATTCACCTTGCTTATTGTGTTGCCACACGGACCCTTTAGCTAACACCTGTAGCTTTAGCTGCCATTCCTGCTAGCTCATCAGGCAGAGCAGTGCATGTGTTAACCTCTCTGATATTAATGGATAATAAAGATTGGAACTCCATTCTTAATACACCGCCTCCGACTCTCTTTTCACGGCACTACACTGGTGACCCTGACTTTTCCGAGAAAGTTTCCGGAAAATTAACGAACATGGCTGAGCGCGATGTTTTCATAAAGCTGCCGGAATTCTGGGAGCACGCCGAGGAGGCATGGTTCGCACACGTGGAGGCACATTTCGCCTGCCGACAGGTCCGTGACAGGGACCTGAAATACTACCATGTGGTAGCAGCGCTGGGGAGCTCCACGTCGTCCAGGTTGGTGGGATTTATCACAGACCCCCCACACCATGGCAAATATGAGGCGATTAAGGCCCTTCTCCTTAAGACATTTAGCTTATCTGCTAAGGAGAGGGCTCGCCAGTTACTTGACATTCAAGGCCTAGGAGACAGCAAGCCTTCCCAGCTAATGGAGAAAATGCTAAATCTGCTAGGGGGGGAAGATCCCCGGATTTTATTCACAGAGATTTTCCTGCGTCACTTGCCTCCCCAGGTCCAGACGGCGCTGGCCAACACGCCTGTCACGGAGCCCCGTGCCTTGGCTGAGGAAGCGGATCGTTTTTTCCTGGCTACACAACAGCCCGGTGCAGAGACGTTAGCCGCGACACTCAGCGGCCCATCTGCAGTCAAGAAAGCGTGGCGGAGGCAGGACACGGCTGTATCGAGCCGGCGTGGAGACACCGGAGAGTGCTTTTACCACGCACGTTTCGGGACAATGGCGAAGAAATGCATCGCCCCGTGCAGCTACAAACCCCCGGGAAACGGAGGGGCCGGCGCTCAGTAGTGGCCATGAGCGTCGGCGGCACGTGCAGGCTCCTCTTCGTCAGCGACAGCGTTTCGGGGAGCCTGTTTCTGTGTGACACGGGCACTCAACGGAGCGTAGTTCCAGCGTCGAGTGAAGACGTCACCCGAGGTGGGCACGGACCGCGATTGACGACGGCTAACGGTGGTCCCATTCGCACGTACGGCGTGAGGCCTACGTGTGTGTGCATCGGAGGACAGCGTTTCAGCTGGGATTTTGTGACAGCGGACATTTATTTTCCCCTCCTCGGAGCGGATTTTTTGTGTGCTCATGGACTCTTAGTGGACGTTAAGAATAGGCGTTTGGTTGATGCCTTAACGTTTTCTTCCCTCGTGTGCACACTTGGCAGCGCAGCATATGACGGGCTGTCGGGCTCGCTGTCGGGGGCAGACCATGGGGCAGACACGTTTCTCAGACTGTTGGCCGAGTTTCCAGACCTGTCGCTGCCCACCTTCTCTGCGCTTACCACTAAGCATGGCGTGGAGCACCACGTCACTACCGAGGGGCCTCCTGTCTACGCCAGGGCCCGGCGGTTGAACCCTTCTAAGCTGGCTGTAGCGAGGGCGGAGTTCGCAACCATGGAGCGCCTGGGCATTGTCCGCCGCTCCGACAGTCCTTGGGCTTCCCCCCTGCACGTCGTCCCCAAACCGAACGGCGGGTTCCGCCCGTGCGGGGATTACCGCCAACTCAACGACGCCACTACGCCTGACCGCTATCCGGTGCCGCACATTCAGGACTTTTCGGCGCATCTGGCCGGTACGGGGGTGTTTTCCAAGGTGGACCTGGTGCGTGGATACCACCAGGTGCCCATGCACCCTCTGGACATTCCCAAGACAGCAGTGATAACGCCTTTTGGACTTTTTGAGTTGCAGATTGCCTCTCCAGAGTCGTCATCGGAGCCGTCCAGTTGGGCCTGGACTATACTCGCATGGCGGCGGACCAGGTCACAGACCCTGGCGTCCAGGCTCTGAAGGTGGAGGGCGCGGGGCTGCGCTTGGAGGACGTGGTGTTCGGCGACGCGGGCGTTACCCTCCTGTGTGACGTCTCCACAGGCCTGTCGCGGACAGTCGTTCCCGCCAGCTGGAGGCGCTCTGTGTTAGAGGCAGTGCACGGACTGTCACATCCCGGCGTTAAGCCTTCGGTGCGCTTGGTGGCCGCGAAGTTCGTCTGGCATGGGCTGAAAAAGGACATGAGGACTTGGGCTGGTGAGTGTGTGGCTTGTCAGCGCGCTAAGGTGCACCGCCACACGAAGGCCCCTTTGGAGCGTTTCCTGGTGCCTGAGAGGAGGTTTGACCACGTCAACATCGACCTGATTGGTCCATTGCCCTCCTCTCAGGGCTTTTCCTACCTCCTCACCATGGTGGACAGGACGACCCGTTGGCCGGAGGCGGTCCCGCTCGTTTCGACGTCGGCCGCAGACGTTGCCCGGGCCTTCATTGCAACGTGGGTGTGTCGTTTTGGCACCCCGTCTGACATTTCCTCAGACAGGGGCTCTCAGTTCACGTCCGAACTCTGGAACGCCGTGGCAGGCGGTTTGGGGGTTAAGCTGCACAGGACTACCGCTTACCACCCTCAGGCTAACGGCCTCTGCGAGCGCTTCCATCGCTCCATGAAGGCGGCCCTCAAAGCCGGCCTTAAGGACGGGAATTGGGTCGACAAGTTGCCCTGGGTGATGCTGGGCCTGAGGACTGCGCCTAAAGAAGACCTGCAGTGCTCTACGGCTGAGATGGTCTACGGGCAGCCGTTGAGAGTTCCAGGGGATTTCCTCCATAACGCATCGGCTCCCTGGTCGGCGTCGGCCCAGCGGGCTTTCCTGCAGAACGCCGCTGAGGCCTTTGCTCCGATCCCTACTACTCCGCACGGTACTCAGGTGTCCCAGGTTCCCGCAGAGCTCCGCTCGGCGGAGCACGTGTTCATCCGGCACGATGTGCACAGAGGCCCACTGCAGCCCCCTTATGATGGGCCTTTCCGGGTCTTGGAGCACAGGGACAAGCACCTGGTGGTCGGCCTGGGTGGCAAGGCCGAGCACGTCTCGGTGGACCGGGTGAAGGCTGCTCACCTGGACTTGGATCAGCCTGTGGTGCTGGCTCGACCTCCGCGACGGGGCCGCCCCCCGGCCTCGTCCCCTGTCACGGATTTAAGACCTGTTGTTCCGGTCCCTCCCCTTCCGGGAGCCGCACAGGCGGAAGTCACTTTTCCGACTCCGGAAGGGAGTCCCAGGAGTCCCCCAGGAGTCGTGGGGGTCGGCGTGTCGTTCCTCCCCGCCATGCTGATTTTGTTTATGTGTGAATTCTGGGGGGGCTTGTGTGGTGACACCATGTGGGACCATAATTCACCTTGCTTATTGTGTTGCCACACGGACCCTTTAGCTAACACCTGTAGCTTTAGCTGCCATTCCTGCTAGCTCATCAGGCAGAGCAGTGCATGTGTTAACCTCTCTGATATTAATGGATAATAAAGATTGGAACTCCATTCTTAATACACCGCGTCCGACTCTCTTTTCACGGCACTACAATAGCCTATTTCTTTTTTAAATGTGATGGAGTAAAAGGATAGTAACTGTGATTATTCATGTTAAGTAGCCCACAAGTAACTAAAACAATTGCAAGTACAATAAGAAGCTACAGGAACGTTAATTTACGTCGGTAATATTAATTTATTTAATACAACATTTACGGTACAAGATTTACAGCATACAGCCCATGAAGTATAATATTTTTACAAATGATGAATTACAGCAAACATGTGCAATATATCCATTATTACAGCTCCATGGGCTGGCAGTAAGGCGATATGGTCCGTTGTTATTGTGCATCCATGGGTAAAGAGAAACTCATGTAGTGCTGAACAAGTAACATGAACGTGCCGGGCGGCGCGGTCCCGTGGGTTAGATGCGCGTTCATAATGCCGAGGGGAAACAACTCTCAGAATAACGTTATTAGCACATTTTTACAACTTGAGGAACGAATGTTTTTAATAAGGGCTATACAAACGTTCATACTGGGTAGTTTATTTAGTTTTTAAAAAATTATCCAACGAGTTACAGACCACTCTTTCCCCATGTAAGTCAATGGGAAAAAGTGTTTCCGGGCCCAGCAACCTAAAGGAAGTGTAGTACCGCCGTTTGACCAGCACGAATATTCTCATCAGACTCCGGCGCACTTCCTGGGGGCTTGGTTTTCTCCAAAATTACCTACCCCACCTTTAATTTCAGCCAGGTCAGCGAGATGCACCATTTATGGCTGAGCTTTGCCCTCCACGCCACCAGAGGGGGACACTTAGATTTTGCACACTGTCACGGATAATCAGCAACGGCGAGTTTGTTGTTAAAGGAAGTGGCCAACAAAAAGTTGTGTGTGTATGGTTTGAAAGCAAACCAGATTGATATTATGGTACCTATCAGTAGAGCAGAAGTCAAATCTGTTACAAAAGTGGTTATCAAGCAACAATGGCAAAAACTATGGGACAGTAACACCAAAGGAAGACATTTATACCAGATACAAAGGGAAGTAGGAACAGGAAGCACTTGGGGGAGTAGTAGAAGAGAACAGAGCATTAACAGCAGGATAAAATTGGGACACTCTGGATTAATCTCATCACTGCATCTGATTGGAAAACATCCAAATGGAAATTGTGATGGTTGCCAACAACCAGAGACAATACATCATGTATTTGTTAGCTGCCCGGATTATAACAGACAAAGATTCATTCTGAAAACTGCACTAGAACAACTCAACGTCAAGGACATGGATTTCAAGTCAATATACGAAAGTAAATCAAGAAATGAAGCAAACAAGCTGATCTTCAAATTCCTCAAAAGCACTGGTCTGAGGACAAGGATTTAATATGAACATTTAATAACTCAACAGTAGGGGGCGATATATGCTCCAAGTGGAAGCGATTCGCCATTAAAGAAAAGAAGAAGAAGAAGAAAGTTGTGTATACGCTGTGATACCAGCCGATTTAGTAAAAGGCATCATGAAAGAGAGATAGGTCGTGTTGTATGGTCTTAAAACACAAGCGATTGATGCTACGCACCACAAAAAGAAGTTAACTGCTGATCTTCATCTTTCTGATGCCGCTTTGAGAGACATACGAGTAACCATGAACGAAGATTGTTTTAACCGAGCTCCCGGAGCAGAGAGAGCCCGACATTTTCCCGCGGACCCCGGGCTTGTGGGGTCCACCGGCAATGGAGACTCCAAAGCCCCGCTTTTCAACCAAAGGGAGCCGTTGAGACAGCCGCGAACATCCCCACCATATTCTGAAAACAGCACAAGCGCGGCCGACGCCATGGTTGCTGGAGGTATGGGGCTGTCAACGAGCTAACAATGGCGATAACTGAGCTAATTAAGCTAGCTACTTTCACATTCGATTCCTTGTAAACGACCCCCTCTGACATTATTGCAAGTGAAGGCCAAAGACTGTTTTTACGTAAAATGAATAGTAGCCACAACATAACCTTCGGTTAATAGTTATACTGACAAGCGTTAAGGGTTAATATCCTCGTGCTACCTGGTTCAATCTGTTGTTGAAATTAATGATAGCTAGCTAGCTGCTAAATACCATTTAATGTTAGCTCGCTTTAGCATGTTGCTGTTGCGACATGCACCTGTTGGATTGTGTTTGTAACGCTCCGTCTAAAAAAAGCTCCCACTCAGATATCGCATGGTTCTTTAGTTACGTACCACATTTAAAACTGTCTTACCCAGATATAATGCTTTGGAGCAATCTTTTGTTATAGCCACTCTAACGTTTGTCTACGCAGAGCAAAGTGGCAAAAATAGTTCCCTTTAATCTGATCAAGCAGCTGGCGCTAAGGAATAGGGAATTGTCAAGAAGTGCCCGTGAGATAGTTCACGGTTTAGAATGTATCACTAAAGCTTTATTATCTGTGTCAGATGTGAAACTGTATCAGAATGAGTCTAATGTGTGGACTTGTCACAGCACTATTGTGTGTTTCTGTATGGTCAACACACCACGTGATTACAAAGGCAAAAGCCAGAACTTAATGTTGAAAAAATATCCCAAAATGAAAGTTAGCATCAACTAGTATTGGTGGGAATTGTACTGATATTATCTGCCTCTAAAATAATTATCACAGCAGATTCTGGTATTATTTCTTGGGATAACAGCCAACCAATCCACAGATAGCTCCACTAGGTTGATGTGTACTGTACTCTAGCTGCACCTATAGTATGACCCTAAACAATAAGCATGGGAACAGAGAGCTGAGATCAGCACATATGCATGATTTGCAATCCTGTACTCACAGCAGCACTTTTGTAAGTGATAGTATACCATAGTATTGTGTGCAGTACTATGTCTTTGCACTCAATATAAGTTACTCAATCAATGTTTTGTACTTTTTAAGCAAAGGTATTTCTTTCTGTTAACTGTGTATTGACTGTTTTTACACCCTGTTGTCTTTTTTGCTTTTCATTCTGTTGTGTACAAAACATGTTGTGCCATAGACTTTAATTGCAGTCCAAGAAGTATTAAAATATACTAATTGGTGAGATTTGCTAAAAACTAACTGCAGTGTTCAGCTTGGCTGTTTTTAGAAAATAACTCAAAATGAAATATTCTAATTGAGGACCTACTGAAAGATCAACATTGTTCAACACTATAGACTATCGCCAGCTTGTTCTTTAAAGAAAAGAGAGAGAGAATGTTGGATGAGTAGTTAAAGATGTAACTAAGACTGAGAATATCTTTCTTCCATTTTTAGATTTTAAAAGACCGAGCAAACACCAACCAAGTGCAAATGCCAACAGTCCGTCTGCCTCCAGAGGTTTTAATGAAGTGGATTCTTTGGTCCAGTCGTCAAAGCTTTCAGCGAGTGCCCCAGAGTTTGTCCCTTCTGGAATGAACTCTTATGAAGTAAGAGTAAAGCTATTATGCCTTTATTCTGATGTTATAACTTCCTTTTTGTATGTGTTTTGAAACATTTTTCTCTTTACTGCTGTTGTAATTGGAGACTGGAACTGTGTCAGTAACACATCTATCATTGCTTTTGTAAAGAGTTCAAGTTTATCTTAGATTTCTTCTTTTTAAGCTTACACTTCTAAATGTATGATTGCATCAGCACAAGAAAGTGTTCTGGGTTTTTCAATAGTTGTTCATGTTCGTATTGTGATTTTTGTATAGGACCCCTCTTTTTGTGATGACAGCACAAGCTATTATGAGGAACAAACCTTGGCTGAGACGGTGACAGACTTCCTGGCCCACCTGAGCTCCTCACCAGGCTCCTTTGAGTCTGACGTTGAACAGATAACGGCGATGCTCAATTCCTGGGTCACTACTGAGGAGCTGCTGAATGAGCTGGTGGAGCTGATTTACACACAGGTTAGAGACACACCATCACTTCTCATGTTGCTGTGTGTATGAATAGTAAACAATATGATTTTAAACCAAACCTGTCTTAACAAAGCATGCACATCGAAATATAAATATATATATATTTATGTTTCTGGTGAACCACACAATGGTATAAGACAATGTATTAATTGTTCCTTTCATTGCAGTCTACTGCCATTCCGAACTTCTCGTACACGGGCGCCCGGCTCTGTAACTACCTGTCTCATCATCTCACCGTCAGCCCTCCAAGTGGCAACTTTCGTCAGCTGCTCCTAAAAAGGTGATTTGTTTATATTTGACTGTATTTAATGTAGGTTGATATCGGGGTAGATGAAATCTTATGACTAAAGTCCCTTTTTATTTTTCATGAAATGCAAATATTTTGATAATTGGATTGTTGAAAAGGGTAAAATAAGTGTGAAATATTAGTTTCAAACTAGCAGCAGTAGTAGAGAGTAGGAATATGTTTTACATTACACGCAGTTATTCCGTGAGAATAAGGCCAGGAAGCATTGGACCTGTCATTGTTCATTCAAAGTGATGTTTAAAAGCTATAATGCGTCGTCTGCTCTAGGTGTCAGACGGAGTATGAACAGAGGGGTGCAGCTGTACGAGGAGACAAAGAGACTCAGAAGAAGTTCCACTCCTATGTGCTCTTCCTGGGAGAGCTCTATCTCAGCCTCGAGGTAAGACATCGTCTTCGAGACCACATTACATAAGCATTCCTTAAGTCGTCCGCTTTTATTTAATCAATTTGTTGAAATGTTCACAATGCAATATTCTATTCCTTTTAGCCTTTTAATTTAGCTTCACTCAATGGCAGTTTGTGAACTTGTTGCAGTCCCACATGCTGCCCCAGTGGCACTAAAGGAAACATTTGGCGGATTAACTATGTTTGCTTCCTAACTTGAACAATTGTATTTATATAAAGACTAGGTTGAAACTAATCTCTGGACTAGTCGTCACAGTAGTGCCAGTCAATAATTAGCCTTTTTTTATTTAGATTAAAAGTGCAAAAGGACCTCCAAATCGAGCAGCGATCCTTCTCACGGCTCTGAAGGACCTGATGAACAGTCTGTTCTCCAAGCCGGTGGACGCAAATCTCATCTGCGCTGTCAAGCTGCTTAAGGTTTCCATTCTCAATTAAATACGTCTAAACAATTGTATCAAGATGTTTCTGGACAGTTCGATCTTTTTTCTTTTTTGGGAAGGTATTGAAAATGTTTTAAATTGACAGCTGACGGGCTCGGTCCTGGATGACACGTGGAAAGAGAGTGGACAACGACACATGGATGAACTGGTCCGAAGAATAGAAAATATTCTACTGGATGCCACCTGCAGCAGGTGGGTACAGTGATGTGCTGTGTTGTGCCAGATTCTACTCGAGAAAATATATTCTTTCCTCAACAATAATGAAGTGTATTTAGGGATTTTTTATCTAGGACGAGGCAGAATATTTATCTTGTCCTTGTGAAATTATGAAAAATGTCATTAACAAAAATAGGTCTTAATTATTTCTCTGTTTATCGACTACTTGATTTGATTCTTAGGCTGTTAGAGAGTGAATATCGGCCGATATTCACTCTCTGCCGATCGATCGGGGCTCTATATAAATGTCGATCACATGACGTAAAATACATGACACTTTTCTCTGCGCGGCAAAACAAGCTCGCCAAAATGGCTTCACCGGTCTAACAGTATTTTAAGGTGTCCGAAAAAGACAGTAAAATAGCGGAATGCAACGTGTGTGTGAAGCAGAAATCCTGCAGCTCCGCCCGCTGAGAGCAGAGCAGAACACACACTCAGAGTTAGACCTAACACACTTAGCTATTTAGCTACCTCTGGAACAAGCTAAACTAGTTGTAGGCTAAATATGTTTATTCTTCACTGTCGGGTCACTCATTACTGGATCAGTGAGCTGCATGAGATACTGACGGGCTGTCAGGAGAGGGGGAGAGGAAAAGAGAGCGCTTCCGCTCATTTCTCCCGTGTTATTCTCCAAAGTTAACGTAAACTTGAATAATGTACTTCATTTCAATGTAATAATTATGTTGGTTGTAGTTAGTGGAAGCGCCAGTGAATGAGCCCCATTAACTGAGTTTTAAACATCACTTTAAATGGAAGATCCCCACTCGATCAGATCGGAGATCGGTATCGGCCGATACTGATTCCGGCGATCGGCCCAAAATTGGCGATTGGAGCATGCCTACTTTTTAACTCACACTAAACACTATAACACATATCGTCAGCCATAAACTGAGAAAAGGTGCCAAAAAGCTGCACTTTTGAGAGTTAATCCTTAATATACACCCTGGGAAAATGTATTGATGTGAGTGTTTCTGTGCTCAGGGATGTCCGACAGATGCTCCTGAAACTAGTGGAGTTGAGATCGAGTGACTGGGGCAGGGTCCGAGCAGCTGCAGCAGCCAGCAACGCCACGCCAGACAACGACCCCAACTACTTCATGGTGAGGGTTACCTTCACCATTTTTCCCATTCCTTTTTCCTCTGCATTTCTGTTTTTCATTAAATATTCTTCCCCTCTCAGAATGAACCCACATTCTACACACAAGACGGGACTCCTTTCACAGCAGCAGACCCAGGTGAATCTTTGTAAACACGTGTGTGATAGATCAGTACCAGGTTATCAGCTGTTTGTCAATCACAGCCACCGTCGACATGCTAAATCATGCTCTATACTGTTATAAAAACATTAGAAAAAACTGTAATTTCCGTATCGTATTTGCACGAAAACGAAAAGGCTAGAAGACTTTAAAAATGTTAGGAGGCCAGATATTTCTTATTTATTCATTTTTCTCTATAGCTTGTGATATATTATTGTGTTTTACTAGTAACTATGTTAAAAAGTGGTTTTCTAAGTAAAATAATCTGCATCAGATCTATGAATTGAAATGCAGGCACCCTACTGTTTTCATGGGTGTAAGTGTTGATAGAAATGTACTTTTCTTTTGTTTATTATGCACTATGTTGCTTAGCGTTAATAAATATGGTCTGCAACATAAAGCACCAGTGCCTTAATGTCCCTTTCTCGGCTTTCATAGATTATGGTGAGAAATACCAAGAGATCCTGGACAGGCAGGAGTATTTCAATGACACTGACGGAGAAAATGGAAGCGAATCCGAGTTGTAAGTACATATTTTATTTTGTATTTTACCTTTATTAAACCAGGATAGTTCTCATTGAGATTAAGGTCGCATTCACACCTGCCTTGTATAGTCCGGTTGAATCGAACCCTGGTGCATTTAGCCGCTTGGTGCGGTTCATTTGGGTCGGTGTGAACGCAGTCCGAGACCTCTTAAGTGAACTAAACAACCGGACTCTGGTCCGCTAAAATAGGTGGTCTCGGAGCGCTTGTTAGTGAACTCTGGAGCGGTTCATTGCTGGTGTGAACGCAGTCCGCACCAAAACATAGGAAGCGTAGTATTTACGTGTCACAAGAACGCGGGTGTCTTCAAAATCGTTCGCGAAAGAGTGAAGCAGAATGAAGTGTTGAACAGTGTCGTGTAAAGTAAAAACTATACATAAAAGTCAGAGCCACCTCCCGTCAGTGAAACCCCCTCCTGCGTCTCATGTGTTATAATGTTTCGTATCGAACGTGGTCTGATTATATAATCATATGCGCCGTTGCTGTTGATATGCTCTCCAGATTAACAACAGCATGAAAATAACCTGCCGTGGCGGAGGCTCTGGTAGAAATTGCCGGGATTTGCGTGTTTACCCCCTTAATGTCTGACCAATGGTTGAACAGCATTTCCGTGCACATGACTTGTGTTTATAGTCCGTTTGAGTTTTGCCCGTGTGAACGCAAACCGAACCTTCTGAAAAATGAAACAATGTAACAAATTGTGGTCTGGCGAACCAGAGAAGCGGACTATTAGGTGTGAATGCGACCTTAACATCTCTTTTTCAACAGAGTCCTGGCCCAAGAATGGTAACAGCACAGTTACAGACCATTTTAAAACACACAGTCATACAACAAGATATCAGAGGATAATTCATATATAGATGCTTAGATATATAGATATATATGCTTCCCTTTTAGGTCCCAGCCATTACAGGGACCTGTTTCTCATAGTTGCTATTAATACCATTCAAAGATATAACAGTCATTATAAGAAAACTTATATCAATGGCAATCACATCCTTTTATGTTTATGGAGACTGAGCAGTCAGCTGCGATGATACTTGTGTTTTATAAGGGGCGGTTTTGGCGCAGTGGTTAGAGCGTTGATCATCAGATCAAGATACTCTACCCGCATTTGCTCCTGTGGGTAATGTCCACATTATTGACATTTACATGTCTAATATGTAAAGCGCTTTGAGCACCTGTAAAAGCGCTCTAATTCAAAAATGTAATTTATTATTATAAGATTAGTTCGACAATGACACATGAACCCAACGACCCTCAGAATAATTCAAAGATGTTTGTGATGTGATTTAGTATCTATATAAATATATATTTTATATATCCTGCATGATAGGCCTGCACGATATTGAAAAAACTGACATTGCGATTTTTTTCCCCCTGCGATAAATATTGCGTTTTTTTGTAACTATATTTAACCGGATGAAGGTATTGTCCTCCTGTGCCTCGCTCATTTTTTACCGGTGTTTTGATGGTCTGCAAACTAGCGGGGCCTGCTGTGATCTGATCAAGAATGATTGTGATTGGTGGTTTGCTGTGCATGCAGAGCCTGCATGTCACTCACTCAAGTACCCCTGACATGAGAGCTGCGCAAGTTTTCCTTTTGTAGCAAGCAGCAAAATAATTGTAACATGACGTGTTTGAGTTAATTCACCTACTTACAGTAAGCACTGAGCCTGTTTTTCAGGTCTCACGCTTGAAAATGACATTCCCAGAACAAATGACCATATCTTCCCTTCTAAAAGGGTTACATTAATAATCTTTGTTCTCAAAGTAATGATAAACCTGTGAGTTGGATGTAGAAAAGTCAGAATCAATATAGATGTTTTTTATTTTAAAGACAATTCAGATTGAACATAGTAAAAAACTGTAAATTATAGTGTCCGTACAAAAATTATTTTGTACTTATAGTGAAAACTAACCTTGGATGATGGGTTAGTAGACTAAAAGCTTTAGGAATCCAAAGTACAACATATAATAAGTACCCTGTATCAAGATTGATGCAAAACAAGTGACATTTGACCTTTTTAGAGAGATTTAGCACAAAAAAAACTGTTCTGAGGTCATTTGGGTGGATTTTCCATATCTCTGGTCGATTTTGACGAATGAAATCTCTTTATAACCGCTAGAGCCAATGGAATCGAGGGGAAATTCTACACACACCAACACATGAACAAATAAGGAGTGAGAGTGACGCGTAGCCAAAACTGGAAGCTGCATACACTCTGTGCTCCGATTTTTACATAAAAATGGAATTATGGATTATAAACAATTGCTTCAAAGCCACAGATACATTATCAACCTATGGATCAACCGATTCAGCTGCGTTTTTTCTCGTTTTAATGCCATTGAACACGTCTTTTGATCAGATTGACAGCTACGGTGGTGAGACGATCTCCTGTAAAAGCTCCGTAAAGTTACGTGTTGTGATGTCTGTGTTTGCTTCCCCTGTCGCGAGATCGGATCGCTTAGTGATGATACTATACTTAAATAATCTGTGGAGTCTCAGCTTTAATTGTATATGCCGTTTCGATAAGTAATAAGGGTATCTTTATTTTGAATTCTGTGCTAAAGTGCGTTAGCATTTAAAAAAGGAATAAAACCCCACGTCCCTGCGGTGTGAATATCGCGCATGCGCATCTCGCGGTTATCGCCATGACACGATATATCGTTCAGCCCTACTGCATGATATTCTGAGTTGCGTACACAGTAGCCGAGGCAGAACGTCACAAACACGCCGTTATGGAAAAAACCTTAAACGGGGTTCAGTGTTTCCCCTGGGACGGAGTACCTGGCTGGGGCCCCCTAGCAGCTGCGCCGCCGCCGCTATTTGTATATAGGGAAACACTGGGGTTAGACGACAAGAGGGGGCTGTAACAAATAAGTGCTGTTTTAGAGAAGATGTAAGTTAGTCAGTGTGTTGTTTTTAATTGAATTACAATTTTTCAAACTGACAATAATGTTTGTATATGCTGTCAGTTAAAGTTTTACAAAGAAAGATAGCGGAATAGGCATGACGGAAATCAGGATGGGCTCATACAGATGAATAAAGGGCGTCTGAATGCAGCTTCCCACAGGTCATATGATCACCTGTGGGCCCCTGAGCATGGTTAGTGTGATTGACTAGCCCACAATGCAACAGGGTGAACCATTGCCTGGGTTTCAGTTTAGTCAGCAGATGAGTTTGAAAGAGGGCTTAGCTCGCTGCTATCCTCTCTGTGAACTCTGGCTCTGTTATTGTGCATTGTGTAAATGGCCTTTTTCTAACCCATATTTTAGGTCGCTTAATAATAGATACACGCGCCATCCATACATTCAGGAGCACATTTGTCTTTTTAAAGATCTAAAAAAAGTAAATGACTGGTTTTGTTGTTTTCACAGATTCGACTCTGAAGACGAGATGGAGCCTGAGATAGAAGAAGCTTATGAGACATTTTGTTTAGAAGCAGAGATGAGACGAAAACAATGACGTGACGGTGAAAGTCTCGAAAGGCACATCCTTTACTTTTAATTCTCAACTTGTTTGGAATGTTGAAACGCAAAGTTAACTAGCATCCGATATGTTCAAACTTTTATTTAAGGCTAAAAAGCATTTTAATAAAAGGAGCTGTTCACAGCACTTCTGACACTATTTCAGTCAGGGTTGATTAGAAATGGGGACAGTCAACAGGGTCAATTGTTCAAAAAATATTAACGGTGTTAAGAGTTTTTCTTTGGACATGGCAGTTCTCTCTTTGTTGCTTTTACATTGTTTTCAGGAATGTATTTCCTTTACGCCTAAACAAAATGCCAAGAGGGAAATGGTGTGCTGTGGATTTATTTTCCTTTGAGTTACTTTCTGAAAGGCCGATTGCATCGACTGCGTGCATTCTAGTTTAAGTTCTTATGAATGCATAAACAGGCCAAAAAACTCCATTCATTGTCAGAGAGGCCTCATCCTAATGTGAAATGCACTGTAAGACGGTGAGGGTTGCTTTACTACATACAGACATGCATATACAGCCTTTATCCTGTGACTGTTGTCAGGTGGATGGCAGTCCAGTTAGGAGAAATGATGTTAGCTCTAATAAAAACAAATACTTAATTTAGTCATAACCTGGGAGGTGAATTTGGACAGAAGTCTCTAAGTAAAATGTTCAGAATCCATGGTCAGTGTGACAGTGTTAACTGCAGGAAAGGATTATTTATATCCCACTTATCCCAAGACGGAAATACTGTTTACCAGCAATTCATTCAGCCCATAAAAAGGAATGTTGTTTCATAGTTTGTAAATATTATTTATGGTATTGTTTGCCTGCAATAAATTCTTTATAATGTGAATTGATTTGTCTTTTGTTTAGGTGGAAGGCGATAAACAAGGACGTTTGTTCTGTATTTGGGACAGGCACATTGTTTTTTCTCCAGAGATTTAATTGTGAAGTGATTTAGTGACTTGGACTTCATCTTTGTTGTATAGCGAGATATAAACTCACGGGAACACATGGTGAAACACTGCGATATAAAGCTCAGGGATTCTGTGAGAGATTATCATTAGAAAACAATATTTTTAAATGTTCCTATTCTTTCTTTTTTGGTATTTCCTTTTTTGTTCAGTTAAGTGTTTAATAAAATACTGTTACAAATTTCTTCTATTTACTTTTTGTTTAACAAGCACTGTTGTGTTGGAGCAGCATGGTGAAAGCAGCAGAGCAAAGGGTCAGGGTAACGAGGAGGAGAAGGAGGGGTTAGTTTCACCCCCTCCAGACACATGCACTGCTATGCCAGGTTCGACCTAGCTTCCCTGAGAGCTATAGGATAGGAAACTACTCACACAAATGAAAATAGTCTCTGAGTATGGGGTAGGCCAACTGTTGCAGGCCGAGCACGTTGCAGCAGGTGAAGCGGAACGTTGTGAAATGAGGAAAGTTGTACGCAAGCAAAGCTCTTATCAGTAGAGGCATGCCCATCCAAGGGAGTGATATCACAAAGGTAGAACTCATTACACTTTATCTGTTTATTCAATACAAGTAATATCATTATGGCAATATTGAACAAAGTGTTGGTATGTTTCCCTTATATTGAACAGCCCTAGATCTCAGGCAATAACATAGTAAGCATATCATCTTTGCACTACCCAAATCACTGTTTCATCTAAATATCTGTTTGCGCAAACTCAATCAAATATAGGTCAATTAATACATGAATATGCTTTAAGAAAGAAAACCGGTTACATCACAGCTCTCATGGGGATTTATTTATTTTGTTGGCAGCTCAGCCTCAGATTGCCTGTAATAAGGGGACATATGCAGGGTCTATTTCAAGCTTGTTATGCAAATAAGTTATTGGGCTTTTTTTTCTGAAATAAGATTAGAAAATGTTTTCAACTTTAATTGACTGAATTTATTTGAAAAGTGGGCTCATTAACTTGTGAATACTGTAATATATGTTTACATACAAGCACAAGTTTCAGGAGTGGGTCATATTCCTTTACACTTTAACAATTTGCTGAGGGTCAATTCAAAATAGACCATGGGCCGCATTTAGCCCTCGGGCCGTAGTTTGACACCCCTGCTCTTAAGGTATAAAAGGAGACATACTATTTATAAAAAAAATGAAAATACTATGTCTCAAGTTTAAATACAAGGGGTTCTTTACACTTGCAGAAGTGCACATTTCACTTTAGAACTAATAAAACGATTGGAGACAATAACATGTTTACAATATTATTTTGAAAGTAGCGTCTTCTCTGCTGAACAGCAACATTTCCCAACTAAGTGTGTTTGAACAAACTCTGCCATCATCTGGTGACTCTATGTCTGTGCAACTCTTTCCAGATCAGACCTATACACACATGTTGTTTGTAATAAAATGACAGATCATTGTTTAAGTTATTGCTATGAGGACTGCACAACTCAAACAAAGATATTTATTCTGGGACCTAAAAAAACACACTGGCATTAAATGTCAGTCACCTAACACCAGTTACAGTTCTCTGGCAGTTTATGCAGGATCTGCCGTGCTGCTTCACAGTTTAGGTGAAAATAAAAATAAGGGCTCAAAAGACACGCAAAAACACCTTTATGTCCATTCTTATATTACTATCCAATTCTATGCAATAAATTCCTCTAGTGAGACCTTTTAATGTAGATCTTGACTTAAATGTAGGCTATGTCAAATGCATTGCTGAGAACACAGTGAATTGTTCTTAATTGAAGTATTTAAAGTTTAGAATATAATAACAATGGCTATTGTGACTTGCAATGCAATACAAATCCCTGCAAATGAACACCAGTTACCAAGTGGAGGCATGTGGTGCAGTGTGTTGTGCGTTGGTGTTCGTTTCAGGGGGTCACAGGTTCGAACCCCACTGCAGTCAGCATGTCGTTGTGTCCCTGGGCACTTCACCCCAAATTGCTCCTGTGGGGATTGCCCTCAGTATTGAGTATGTAAGTCGCTTTGGATAAAAGGGTCTGAGATGTAATGTAATGTAAAATCAGGTTGATGTCTGTTTGTAAGGGATATTTTATCCTTTGCCGCCACCTGGTGACTAAAGTGAGTAGCGTTAACATATCGAGTCATTAGTAGATGAAGAAGCTGCATCAATGATTTCATTTAGTACGTTTGGTACTAGGAAAAAATAATCTGAGTTTTTGAAATTCAGTATTGTTTCATTATGATGTTAATGGGGTAAATGCTAAACTTGTATTTTCAAATAGCTGGTTTTAGATTAGTGTAAAAAAGGTTATGCATACTTAACCATAATAGATCTAAGACAGTGACAAAACAAGATGAGAACCCTGCAGAGTCCACACATTTATACTTTTAGTCCCAGGCATGTCTTGCCCCATCTTCATATTTTAATTATCACAATTTCCCATTCACATTATAAGCCTCTCCCTTTTCTATATGAAGAAATAAAGGAGCTTCTTAGTAGTTGACATTTCAGAAATGTGACATGTGTGTTCAGAATGGCCTTGAAAGTGCTTGGTGGTCAGGCTGCTCAGAGGAAGATGACAAACAGAATATTATGACATCTCTTTACCCTCACCGCAGCTATTTGCCTTGCTACAGTGTAATAGCTCTTTGGTAATTTATAACTCCCACAACCAAGCATACATTTATGTTGAAATTGTGAGACTTTGAGCTTGGATTACAGCTAAGAACATTGCTTTTCTTTGTGATACATTTTACATTTATTTCACTTGTGTCATGGGTCAGTTTACTGAGGGACCTGGGGACCAAGCAATGTTAGCTGCAGGCCATAAAACCCACACTATCCTCATGATGGGACAGAAACAATATCTTTAAGGTATCACATTTTAATGTGGTTGTCACACCATATTTTAGATATAATATATCATATTTTTAGCATTATGACTCACTGATTATATTTTCTTTACCGTACAATAGTTTATATAAATTGGAAAATGTTGGTTCAAAAGATTTAAACACTCTCCTACAAGTCTGTTTAATGTCAATAAGAATTGGTGGTACTTATCAAGAACAAGGACTGATCATTGTTTGTCATAAATGTTTTATTTTCATCATCATTTGTGGAACTACTTGAGCAGGTCTCCCTTGAAAAAGAGATCAATGATCACAATGGGATTTATCTGTATAAATAAAGGTTTGAAAATCATGGAAAACGGATGTCTGCATGAGTGCATTCTGTGTTTTTGAGGAAGCACATTGCACACAATGCAAAACAATCATGCATCGTTTTTCTCTGGTTTACTCCAGTCATCCCTTTTTTGTGCTATCTTGAGGATTGTTTGAAAAGCAACTGTTGGTCATGTGACTGGATGGTAGCTTCACCCACCACCAGTCACATGACCACCGTGTCTGTGTGCATTCATTGACTCATGAGCCCCTCTGAGCCGCTGGATGTGAGTGTTTGGCTCACAATGCAGCAGGGAACACCAGGGCCTTAGATTCCCATTGGTCAGCAGATGGGAGTGAAAGAGGGATTAGCTCCATTTCTCTCCCAGACCTGTGTGTGTGTGTTTTCATAATAAGGATAAAAAAGGAAGTTGTGCTATTTAGAGATTGGCAGGTCGTTTCTGCATCTATTTTCTATCTTTGTGTTTAGTGATACAGTATATTTTTAGGTGGAAGCAAGTGTGTGGCTGATAGCAGCAGGAAGTAGTCTTACTAAATTAAGACAACAGACACCGCACATAAAGGTCTCTTTATTTAACACCGACATAGTTTAATATAACATATCATTTGATGTTCAACTCAAACTCAAGAGCTTATAAGGAAAAGATTGACTTTCCATTACGTCTCCTCTCATGTGATGCAGATGTGCGGTCCTCTTTGGGGACAGCAGTGTGGCAATCAGGTCTTCTACCCAGGAATATGTGCAAGAATGAACCCCCTGTTTCAACCTCAACCTGCCTTCTCTCCTGCCATCCAGAGTAAGATCTGTATTTAAAAAAAATATGATGGCAGATATGTTGAGCTACTGTATGTATTGTATCTTGGTATCTTTGAGTTGGCTCACAAACAGCAACATGTTTAACAAAAGACATGGCCTGTTTTAAATTATTGTTTTAAATGTATCTGCTAGGTTCACATTGTTTACAACACAGCTTGGCAATACTCTGCCTTTTATCAGCTTCTCGAATCCTCAATGGACATTTTTTGAACAAACCTTCAAACTGTGTTTTTGCTTGCAGCTGTTAAACCACATAATAATGTAATTTTAACAAATGTAGAAAAAAGGCAACTAACAGGTAGCTGCGATATTATGCATGAAATGTAAACATACAGTGATCAGCAGTAAAGTGAAGGGCATGAACTTACAATTATTGCAAAATAAGTTTACAAGAAAACGCACAAAAAACATCTTACTTAAAACCATAAACATCTGTATTTAAGACCTCGCTATAAACAGTTTTCATAGGAAGTATTCATTAGTCATGTGTACCAATGAAAACTGTTAGATCATCCAGGGTAACAGACTGATTGTAAATAAAAAGTGCTGTTTTTCAATTAAGTCAAAACCTGGAGAAATACAATCAAACCAAACAAGATGCGAACAGAAGTAAAGTGTGAAACCCCCTTTTATAAAGTGGTACAGTAAAACAAGGACAAAGGCTTTTTCTGTGATTATAAATAGTCTCTCAACTCCCAGTCCAACTTCAAATGACTCATGTTCCTCCTCAGTGGGGATTCTTAAAGACTTTCCCACACTTCTTCAAGATGTCAGGGCCTGATGCAAAAATAGACCACAAGCTTTGCTGTGACAAGAGACTTCCTTCGATTTTTCAACATGATTTAACAGAACGAGCTGCTTAAAACTATCTTGAGTGGGATTTAACAAGTTTAGTTTGATTTGTCTAAAAGACAAGTTTTTACCCTTTTCCGTTTCTCAAGGCAAGTCTTGTCACCAAAAATACAACAAAATAAGTTCAGCCTTTTCCAGGAACCGCGCTGCGTCACCAGAGCTTGAAGTGGCTCATTAGGAATTGTAAAGGTGTTCAGTCTGGCCTACCATGACTTGCACACGAATCATGGCTGCACAAACAGAGGAGAGGGCGTATGATTCAGCTGCTGAATACGGATGATATCCAGGACAACCAAACCTATTGAATCAACTTAACTGAACACTGTAGTGGGATACTGATTACAATTACCTCATCAG